TTCTGTACAGCTAAAGCATGATGCTGTAGTTGTACAAAAACTTTAGTTCAGTTGTAAAGGATGATGCTACCACTACCAAGTTGATTGTACATTCAAGAATATTTACTGTAAACTATGTTACAACTTTCTGCCTGACCAGTCTGCTGTGTTCCTTGTTCTTCATGGTGTTATTTTGTCTGAACGGTTGTAGTTATATGGAGATTAAATCACACAGGATGATTATTTACCAGTTGGAATCGGGAAGGTAATTGTTTGCACTGGATTTTATTGAATGCTTTCAAAGTGAAAAAGCAGAGCAAAATCATGCCATATTGTTCAAGGGTTTGTTTGAAAAAAAAAAAAAAAGAAAACGAAACGGCACCATTTGCAGGAATCGACCTTCACAAAGTGTCTTTGCTTTGGTAATGAAAAGGAGAACTGTGTCCCGCATGTCTCTTAACTTCCCACTAATGTCAAGGTCTGTTATTACGTTGCAGTCTTGGGTTAGATGATCACAGACTCACACTGTTTGTGCATATGGAAGTGTCTGTGCTGTATTAAATTCAGCAGAACCCATCAGTATTTGCCTACTCTCACACAGACAAACACACACGAACACACTGAAGCAATTAGCAGCCTCCATTATGGTTAAATATGAGCCGCTGCTTACTGCGTGATTCTTTGAGGCTAAAGAGATCAAACCTTTATTCTACAAAGTCCATATGCTTCATCTCTTGCTGCAGACGCGAATGCTCCCAATCCACACCCAGACTATCAACAAATCTTTACTACAAGCATCTGAAATGACTGCAACGACCCTCTGAGTGTGAAGTGATTAATTAAAAACTACTGGATCAGTCAGCTGAAAATATCAGGACATTTCTGTATGTCATCATGCAGAAGTAAATCCATATTAAAGGAAAGATTTTAAGTGAAAATGATCATGTCTCTCTCTCTCTATGTGCTTTGTCTGACTCATGTTAGCACTGGGAAATGCCAATGCAAGCACAGCTCCCATGGAAAAACTTAGGTTTTTAAATTTAGAGATAGTTTGGAAAATCTATTATTGTCTTTCATTTTCTTACTCGACCATAACATAAGACCATCTAAAACTGAAAGAAACAGAAAAAAAAGCATAAATGCTCTTTCTAAAGATAAAGTGCTCTCAGCTGCCTCCACATGTACGGACAAACCACAAACAAACAGACCGAAGGATGAAGGACTGAACGCACGGACAGGCTGACTCCTGACAGATTATTCCTTTACCAGATGATCGGCTCAACTTTTCCATAAACTCAGCCGTGCGCACATACTGTAGGTCTGCACAGACACATGACACTTCTATCATCATACAACTTTTCAGACTATTTTGTGTGTGTGTGTGTGTGTGTGTGTGTGTGTGTGTGTGTGTGTGTGTGTGTGTGTGTGTGTGTGTGTGTGTGTGTGTGTGTGTGCGTCTGCAATGGTAAATGCATTAACAGTGACAAGAAAGGATCAGGGCACAAAAGGTTCACATAGAAACAAAGAGACAGAGACGCATCCGATGTGTTTCTGTCTGGCTTTTTTCTGAACCGTTTCCTGCCTTTCTTTCTCCGTCGTTTCTCTTGAATTTTAAGTTTTGCACCACATCTCCACAACCCTTGTATGACTAGGACTCATTTTCCACTGTGTTCCTCTTTTTTTAATGAAGCATTTTGGGGGGAAAAAACATGGGGGGAAAAAGAAACCATAAACTGCCTGACTTTGCATCAGCAAAAGAATGCAAATTACTCCCTAAACGCAATGCTAAAATTTTCTGCAGACTTGTTATGTGCAGGGAAGTCTAATAACAGGGTCTTCTTTTCCTCCTCCATTAGTTCCTTCACCCGTCCAACTGGGAGGCAGAGGCCACCACACCGGCTCAGAGGGTGGCCACTGAGGCTGAGGCTGCTTGGTTTTATCTCTGTATAATTATCTGGGAAAATCACAGAGGAAGCAAACAGGTAAGGCTGTTGCATCTTGGAAAAGTGCTGACAAGCTTGATCCAGTGCAGCAGTGTTGTCCCCCTTGAAAGATTCAAGCAGCCAGGAGCTAAATAGTTTCTTGGAATGGAAAGACTTCAAGTGTGACTGAGCTGAAATGTATTAAACAGGAGGGAGAGAGAGAGCAAAATGAGAGATCAGCAGCCTGACTTTGAATAAATAAAGAGAACAGCCGCCTTAATCCCCACTGGACCAAACCCTTTCTAGCGTTTCACAGAACAGAGCAGAGGGGAAAAAAGTGATTTTGTGACTAGAGCTGCTCTTGGTATTCACATCATCTCAGAAATAAGAACTCTCCAACCTTGTAGATAAGTTGCTTGACTTTTAGTCCTCATATTTAAAATGAGAAACTGAAAAGTTAAACCTGGAGTATGAAGAACCACAGTGTTGTACAAAAGCAGTGAAACTCATTAAGCTTCAAATTTAGTTTATTTTATTCAGATTTTGTATTACTGGATAAGCTATTATTGCATTTTTGTGAGAGAAAGGAAAAAGGACATAAGGTTCTCAAACATGTTCAGTTAGAATTGTGAAAGAATGTGGCATTCATTTGTAATTGGGTTTTCTTTATCTTGTATCTTTATCGCTCAATAAAATTCAGCAAATTTTACGTACAGTTGAAGTCGTGTGTAATTGACCTCAAAATAAACCCAGCTGCTCTGAGGGCCTCTGAGGTTTGCTATAGAAAATCAGTAAACAATAATACACTTACACCTTACATTATGTATAACATATATTAATGTATTCTGAAAATGCACAATCAAGCTAATACTGGATGAGTGTGAGATTTGAGACTGGGTTGGAGGTTAAAGCTGCAGCTAAACAATAACCACGTTGTATCAAATTAAAAATATATAATAGGTCTTGAAAACTGAAGACATTTTGAAGAAAATAAAAAAAAATTACATTTATTGTCAACTCTACCCAATAAAGACTTGTAGCTCAAAGTCTCTCAATTTGAAGCATCAAAGTTTTTTTTGCTTGTAATTTGGAAAAGTTCAGGGGTGAAAATACTTTAGTAAGGCAGTATACAAAACTCACAAAAACATTTGTTAGAAAGGTAAGCTCTTGTTGTTTCTGGGTTCGTTTTAGATTTGGTTATGACCTGTGGGTTCATGAAACTGTTGCATATTTGTAACCACCTTGTTTTGCTTGCAGCCTTGCAGACGTCAGATTAATGGATTCTTTAGAAGCTGTTGAACCTCCCATGCACTGTTCATTCTGTAAATATCAACCCACACATCCCAGACACATTCAACTACATCTGGCCTCAAATGAGACACACATAAATAAATAATTACCGAGCTGTTTAGCCTTTGTTCATTCTTAGCCTACGTGCCTTCTGTGGACTGAGAACACTGCGCACCATTTTGAGATCAGTTTATTCTCAGTACGTCTTTAGTTAATTATCCAACTTATGTGGGATAATTATTCTTTAACCAACAATAAACATATTTTCTGATCTATTTAACTCCTAACCTGATACATTAGGTCATGCAACAGTCAGTTGAGGGTAAAATTAAGACTTTTTAGCTGCTTTTTTAATGGGGTAAAATGGTGCAAGGAAGAACACTACTTTTCAGTTTGGAGATAGGAGACACACTTCTAAAAAAACAAGCCATTAGTCCGATCTTCTTGCTGAGACTTTGCATTTTTGACCAGAGTTGGAGATAAATTGATAAATTTTTTTGACAGCAACTTCTGTTGAGAATCTGTGAGTTTGATTGCTAACATTTTCCTTCGACACCAAGAACGATATCATCAGCAAATACTGAGCTTCTAACACTGCATTCTCTGTGACCATAAACTAGATTTTTGTTTTTACTTCTTTCATGAACATCTGGCTCCAAGCAGCAAATGAACCATGTGAATAGGAATGCATCCTTCATGCAGCTTTACGTTTTAGTAACAGCTGTGTGTCAAGAAAAAGATACAGTCCCAATGTTAACAGAATGAATTTGAGAAAATCCACAATCCAAACTTGTTTTTATCAACTGAACTACTGAGCAAACTATTAGACATTATTAGAATGATATTTGTATTGATAATGAGTGCATCACATTTCTGACTTCACTGGTGTATTCCTCTTTCATTTGTCATGCAGACTTTAAAAAGTAGGTCAAATGAAATTGAATATTGTAAAATCAGCACCAGAGTTTGCAGCTACAAACTGTAAAACCCTCCAAAAAGACAAGGAATAAAACGCATCTGGGATCAGTGTGGAGAACAGGAAAGACACATACATGTGACTTTATGATGTTTGCCCAATTTTACATTGCAAAGTTTTTATTACTTATAAACCTAGCTCATAAATCTGGAGCTTCAACACAACCTTTCACCTCCCAGACATTTCCACATACTCTGCGTGACCTTTCCCTTTTCCTCTGCTCTACTACTCCAAATTTTCTATTTCCCCAGGGAAGAACAATCTTTATCCCTGCGCTACCCCACTCCACCTTTTCTTTTTGTGTCTCCTCATCTGCTGGCATTTCTCTTATTGCTTCTGGCTGAAACCACTTGTTTTCCACTCTTCTCTGTTTAAGTCTTCCTCTGGCTTTTATTGCCTTGTCTGATTTAAAAACATGATTTTAAATAGCTGTCTCTCTCCAATTTGGTTCTGTTGGTGTATTTATTGGCAACGATGTCTGCATGTTTTGTCTGCCTCTGTGTCTTTCTTTGTGATCATGTCCTCTATTGCCTGCTTTTTTTTTTCTTCTTCACCACCATATTTCATCTGGTTTTCTATGGTTGGACTCATGCACACTTCTGCTACTTTGTTGTAGCCAGGGAGTTTTGAGCTGGTGTTAAGTTTCATACAGCAGGAAATATTTTTGAACCATGCAGGAAATGTCTGAAACACTGGGATCGTTCTCCTGCCTTGACCACCCGCAAAAATCACGCACACACTTCAGAAAAGTCCCAATCATGACTGAAAAAAATAATATTAAAGTTAAAATCTGTCTCAAGATTTTATTTTTTTGAGACTTTCTTGAGTATTAATCAACATTCCAAAGCTTGAGAGGCGGCGAGGCTGCAGACAGGTCTGGCTCCATAGAGGAAGGGGTCTGTGAAGGGGAAGAGCCCCACCAGAAACAGCAGGACTCCAGTCAGATAGCAGATCAGTACAGCTGAACGCTGAGGGGAGCTCAGAGCGGAACCAATGTCAGGGAGACCCTGGCTGTTGCAGAATGAGTGGCACAAAACTGGACCCACAATATGACCTTCAGAAGAACAGACCACAAGATGTGAAACTACCATATGTACACCAGATGGCGCTTTTAGAGGATAAATGTGTATTTTTGCCTCTCACCAGTTCTCAGGAAAATAAAAGTTGCAAAGACACCAAACACAGTTGTGTACAAAAACTGAATCCCTGTAAAAGAAAACTACAATGAATAATCAGTAAACTGTAAAAACATTCATACTCTTTGATTATTATCACAAAAACATTGTTCAAATTGTCATGGCAGACCAACACACAGTCATGCTCATAGAAAAGTGAAAGTAAAGTTCAGCAATTTCTTTTAGTAAAAAACTGGAAGGAAATGTTTGCATTCAATTTTTATCCCATCTCTCTGATGTTCTTACTGCAATATTTTTAACCTTGTCACAAAAAGCTATTTCTGGTGGAAAACTACCATTGCACCAACTACACTGTAAAACATAGAGGTGGCAGTATGATGCTGTGGAGATGTTTTATTCAGCAGAGACAGAAAAACTGCATAAGCAGATTTGAAGTTGGATAATGCAAACAATCCAAGAGTGATAAAGCGTCGCTCTGTCACAACAATCCAAAACATAAAGTCAGGGTAGCAGTGATGTGGTTAAAATTAAATCATTTTCATAAGTTAGAATAGCTCAGTGAAAGTCTACATCTAAATCCAATCAGGAATTGTTGGGAGAATTCAAAAATGTATGTTTGCAGGTGGTATTCAACCAGTTTGAAAGAGTTTGAGTTAAAACTGGTTAACTCAAACCAGTTTTCTGCAAGTTGTTTTACTGAAACAAAAGAAAAGTAAAGTAGTCTAGATGTGAGAGGTACTTCCATAGAGTATAAAATATGTAATGTAAAGGATATGAACACACCACACTTTGGAGATTTTCATGTGGAGAAGAAAAATAAATCAATACTGTAAATCATTTTCCTTCCTCTTTTAAAATAGCAGCTGAGTTGCTTTCTGCAAGTGTGACACAAAATTCCACCAAAATAGATCAACGTTTGTTTCACTCTCTGTTACCTCTCATTCATGCAACTGTTGGTGTTGTGCAATGACATAGTTCATTAGACTGTAGTTTATAAATGTTTTCTTAGGTGTAATACTAGTATATTTTTCATATACAGTGCACAAACAGCATTTAGTGTCTTCATAATGTTAGATTGATTTTCACTGGGATTTGATTTATCGTTATATGTATGATCAAACATGCATCAATCCCACATGTAGTTCATTTGAGAATAAGCTCACCTGCCCCCAGGAAGATGGCTCTCACATTGTCCTTTCCCAGGTGAAGCTGCTCTATGATGTGGTGTAGATGGGCTAGGACGACAGTAAAATTGAGACAAATTTTGCAAACATTAGAACAGGAACAGCAAAACTCCTGCAGGTCATCTGGTGCATTTTGTTGTGCTTTAGTAGAGTGTGATGTCATTGTGGCCCCAAAGTTTCCTGTCATACCAACACCAAAGAACAGAGGAGCAATGAAGATAACAGCTGTGGCTCCAGTGCAAGGCACCAACATAGGCAGCATGGCCCCTCTGAACACCAGCTCCTCTGTCACTGGCGCCACCACCTGGTTCCTGAGCCACACTGCGTCTTGAACGCACATCCTCCAACTCTGGACATCTGGGAAAATACATTAGTCAGGAGATTGTGATCACCTTTAATACAAAGACGGCACATATGTCAAACGTTTTGCATCAGATTTCTCTAACAGAACCTTGTAAATACCCAGAGCAGAGTGAAGTTCCCCAGAGAACCCGTCAGGATTGTCCAAAGCAGACTGAACCAGGGGCCCCAGATAGAAAAACTATTAAGAAGAATGAATATAGATGTTTATAACATGCACAGGCAATAAATAACAACAAGATCAAAAGTATGAAGGGAAAAAAATGGCACACATTTTAGCATGTAGTTTAAACACTGCAGGGAGCTCAAATAAAAATATAAAGTTACAGTAAATTGTTAAAGAGTTCAATTAAATTAAACATCTAAAATGTCTAATCTGCCTCAACAAAACATACATCAAATCTAAAAAACAAACCCTTCGAAATCTGTGTGAGCAGATGCTGGAAAACACTTTCAAAATGACTTTTTAAACTCTTTTGACAACTTGAACGCAACAAATAAATAAATAAAAATTCCATTCCTCTTATTTGAATGTGTAAAGAGTTCAGTTCAGTTTCAGTTTAGGAAGTCATTTCATTTTGTTTCAGTTTTAGAATTTAAGTAAGAGAGAATAATATAATTACAAAAACATTTGTTCCAAAACTTTTTCCTTTAAAGTGTTCATGTTATGTCTTATTGGCTTACTGTAGTCAATAGCAAAGGCAGTGCAGCTGCAGGAATGAAACCTTTCAAACGAACTCCCATCAGCTCCCACAAGGACTCTTCAACCTGGAGACCCAGGATGCACTTTATTTATTATGCAAGGTTATGTCAACAGAGGATCTCATCACTGAATATTACGGGTAGTGATGATCAGTAGCTGGAAAGCAAAGCACGTAATCACAAAAAAAATCAATTGCTTGTAGAACTTTTTTTTCAAACCCCAAAATATCAAAAGGTAGAGGAAAGTACTCACTGTGACATCAGCCCAGTGCATCCATAGCTTCATAAACGCAGGAGACGCTGCAGACACCAGAGCTACACTGACAGAGCGACGCTTTATCACTCTTGGATGGTCCCTTTAAGACACACACTTTCAATAACGGGCTACTTGAACAACACTGACTGCATAGTTGATGATGAGTTGCATACCTTGGTAAGGTGCTCCAGCAGATATATAAACTACCCACATAGAGAAAAGCCAGCAGAAGGCAACTCATTACACTCACCCAACAGATTGTGTACTGGTCCTGCCTAATACAGCTTTGTCCTGGCTCTTGCATGACAGAGCAGGAGATCTGCAAACTGCAGAGCTTCAAGTGGTTCCACAGGAGAGGGATGAATAAAGCAGCACAGTGTCAACATGCTCAAATGGATAAGCTTGATCCTTTATGTCAGATTAGATTAGTAGATCCTAGGGCAGAGAAGCTGATTAACTAAAGCACAACAGAAAAAATATTTAAAAAAATAATAATAATCGCACCGTATCATGAAATCTTTCATAAAGTAGTAGTTTCTGTAACGAAAACAAATCTGTTCCCTGACCGGGAATCGAACCCGGGCCGCGGCGGTGAGAGCGCCGAATCCTAACCACTAGACCACCAGGGAAACTCGTGAAACTCGGGCCACTATCACACAAATCCAAAACACGTCCACGCGTGTGTCGAATTAGAGTTGGTACGTGGGCATATTGCATAGTAAACCTGCTTCTCGATAACACCCAGTCGGACATGAAATGTAGAAAAGCTCCAAAAACGACATAGCCTGTCAAGCTCTCAGGCCTCTCAACAACCCGCCCAGGCCTCTATGGTAGCTGTAACCTGTTCTTCAGAAGCAAAGTGTAAAGTTGCTTCACTAAGTTAAGTGTCACTAAACTTATTGTCCTAAATATACACAATGCTTTACTAAATATTTACAAAGACCTTCAATGTATTACCATACCAGTCATGGGAAATGTCGCCGTCTGATGTCAGACAGAACTAACAAACTAACATGGTGGTGGTGGTACAGGATATTTATGGGAAATAATAAAACAGCAGGAAAAGGAGGTAGAAAAGTGAAGCGAAGCATGACTGACATGACTCTGGTTCCCATGAGGAAGTAACAAACAGTGAGGTAGTGGAAGTCAATGCATTACTATGAGTCATTTTTGCTTTGTCAGCCAACATTGAGGCAAAGAAGACGGGCAAGAAAATTCTCCAACAATTTGTGGGAAACATCGGAGAAACCAACGTTTAAGCCCCAGTTTTATGGGAGCAATTTTCAAATTCTGACAGAATTTAAATTCATTCCTGAATAATGGAACATTTTCCAAGACACTAAAATCTTTTTTGAGTAAATAATTCCACTGGAGGCCTTGGGTTGCAGGCCTGCAGTGGAACTGGCCTTTCTGCATTTGTGTGGTTCCTGCGCACTGCTGCATCTTGTGTGGTAGATGCTGCTGTTCCATAAAGCTGCACAAAGGCGGGATGTTTGAGCTTATCAAGCAAAAGTCATTTGAATGGATTGTCCTTCCTAGGGCAGAGAAGCTGATTAACTAAAGCATAACAGCTTCCTGAGCTGTGGATCTCTGCAGGTACCACGGGACTATCCAGCAATTATTCTCACCCAATGTATGTATGGTAACTGGCTGTTTTTTAGGCCAGTTTTCCTATTTCCCTCAATGAGATGGTTTGCACAAAGTTGAACATATTACAGTAATGTGAATTTCCTGTAGACCAATTTTATTAAAATTCTCCATTTCTAAAATCTGTGCTTTGTTTACATTTATTTAGTTTGTAATACATTTATGTCTGAAGCATTGTGGTGTACCTCACAAAAAAGACACATCTCTAGCCATTTTTCTTCAAACTTTATTTTATTTGTCATTCATGAATAAAACAATCATAAATATGGAAATCAACATTTGAATGATAGGTACCGTTTTAACTGCACACATCAAAAACCGTGCACGCATTCATCAAACTATGCAGAAATACCAAAACTTTTTAAGTTACGCCAGTGAAGAAGAAGGGAACATCCAAAGCTGCAGATGACTTATATCACCAGGGTCCAACATTAAAAGTTACATTTTAAGATGTGTTACTTTGAGCGTCAATAACAATTCTGCACTGAAAACCTCGGGGAATTGAGTCCAGCTCAAATAATCACAAAATATACTAATTTCTGAAAGGATTTCACATACTACCATTTTTTTTAAACTATCAGAAAAGATAAAAGCAACACCTGCAACAGGACAAATCTCTTTGCATACTCAAAGATATCATGAGAAAGATATAAATCTATCTTTCATGAGATAGATTCTCATGAAAGCTGGTGCATTTTGGCCTACAAATTGAAAACTTTCTATTAAGGCACAGGAGACACACAACATTAAAAATAAGCAGAGGACCAGCTGGTGTATGAATACTGAATAATGTCCAAAAAAATGTACACAACACATGAAAAAGACCAGAAGTGCAATAAAAGTATGAGAAAATTACACGTCTTAAATAAATAAAAAACTAATTAAAGAAACTAACATAATACTCCTAAAACACACACATTACATTCAGACAACAACTTCCAGCTTCAGACTTAGAAAACATTTCCAGGAGGGAAAAGGCACTTGAAATCCTAGACATATCTTTGTAGTTTTATTTTTTTCTTAACATTCAAGAAAAATACTTTTGGGGACTTTGGGATTCAATGACATCTGCAGTTTGTGCTTATCCTTTTCACTGTAACACACATTTGTTGTCCTTATTGCTGTATTTCCTCCTCCTCATCTCCAAACCTCGCTCCAGCCGCTCGTCCTCCTCCTGAGCACTGCAAACACAAAAACATCAGTTCAGGGAAAACTATCTCTCATTAATCACTGAGCTGCAAAAAAGAAATGGCTCTCTGGGCAAAAATGTGGAAAAGTGTGTAAAAGGCCTCCTTGTAAAAAGTAGTTTATTTAATAAATATTTTAAAGAAAAAAAACTTTTCAAAGTTCATTTTTAGAGAACTACAGAAAGCAGAACAGTCTTAGGATTTAGTCTCCAAAAAAGCCAATTTCTTTTGTAAACCTATTCACCTTAACTGCGGTCAATAATTGTGTAGAATGCTGCATGTTTGTTTGACTTTTTCTGCTCATCCTGAAAGCATCGACTCACCGTTTCTCTTTGTCATCGATGTCTCTGATGATCTCATCCCGCTGGTTAACCAGTGACACCAGCTCCTGGAGGAGCAGCTGCTCCCTCTGCTGCTGAGTGGATGTTTTCTGCCAGTCTGTGAAACATACAGCAACATGCCAAATGCTGCTTCTTTATTAATGTTTTAGATATTTGAAAACAAGTCTATGTCTGACATTTACTTTTAAATGCCTTTCTCTTTGATTTAATATGCCAAAGAAATCTCTTTCTGCAAGTTGAAACTAAAATATGAACTATCTCCTACAACATTTTTGATAATCATAACTTAGAGAACCATTTTGTTACATTTTTAATTTAAATCATTTATTCAGTTGCTCTGCAGATCATAGTTAGTAGGTAGAAAGTCAGACAAATTTAGTAAATGTAGTGTTGATGACTATAGAAGTTATGAGACCCTTTTAAAGCAGAAACTGAAAACACAGTGGAATATGTTTCACCAATAATTTCACAAGACATTAGTTTTGCATGTTCACAAATCAAAATTTTGTCAAAATGACAAATATAAGTTATTTATAATGTGTTCTAACTGTACATGTGTATTTAATCTTCTGTTTACCCTGAACTCTGTTTCAGTGACTAATTCACAGATAAAATAAAACTTAAACCAAGCACCGACCTTCTATAGCCATCATAACTCGCAGTTCTCTGGTCAGAAGCTCAAATCTTCTCTCCAGATCTTGCTCCTCTTGTCTGCAGAGCGGTCAGAAATTATGGAAACGTAATAAACTCAAAGTTTACAATATAAAACGTGTATTTTCAGTTAGCTTACAATAGCTCCAGGTTATCCTGTCGGCGTATCAGAGCGTTCTTCTTGTTCACCAAAGTGAACCATTCCTGGATCAGCCTCTCCTCTTCATCACGGTCACTCCCTGCAAACACAAGAGAATAATTTGTATATTCATGTAAGAGTTATGGAAAATAAAACATTTCCCTGCATTGTGAAAAACAGAACATTGAACACTCCCACCTCTCTTAGACAGATTTTAAAAAAATAAACCAACCTGTTTCCATGAGGCTTCGCAATCGTCTCTCCACCACTGCTGCTCTGCTGTCGATGTGTTTCTGCTCTGTCTCCAGTGCTGCCAGTTCGCTCAAGACATACTGACTGGTGTCCTGCAGGTGCTGACCACAAGTCCCATCACACACACACATTGGCATGCATGTACACAACATGCAAACACACACATACAAATAAATATAAAAATGAAAATGGCCCGGCAGCCATGAGGAGAGGAGAAGAAGGGTAAGACAAGAAAAGTGAAGACAAGAAAAAGGACAGTCACAGATTAGAGGGAAGTCAGAAGCACTAGAGAAAACAAACTGAATTTAATCTGCAGTGGAGAGATTTTGTTGTGATTTTGTTACACAAAACTGACCATAGTTTCTTCTTGTTTAGGAGGCTGGATGTCAACTGCACTCTGCAGCTCTGCAAATACAGAGACACAGATTAAAGCTTGAGCAGCAAAGAAAAAAAATCATCCAGTCAAAAGTGGGAAGAAATGTCCAGTATTTTAGGTGCTAGCAAGACTCAGTCCAGATAACACCTACCTGAGTTATTAGCATTTTCAGTAGGAGATGAAGCATCTTCATCCTGCAAATATAATACGTTAATTGACATCACATATTGTTTGAAGAGTTTTCATTTAGTGACAAGAAGTGTAACCTGTTCAGATTTGGCAGCTTTGGTAACCGATCTTGGGGGTGGGACTGGGATTCTTGTTTCTTCCACTACAAAAAGATAATGAAAGCAACAAGATGTCTGATTCCTCGTCAAAAAAAGGCATTCATGCTTTTTAGTCCTTTCCATAAACTTTGACAAAGTTTTTGAGATTTCAAGTTACACATGTTTAGATTTCAGTTTTGACAGATATAAGAAGTTAACTCTAATAAATCTTATGCAACAGGAAACACACAGAGGCTTCTTTCAAAATTACTCAGCAAAAATTAAAGATGCTGATAAGAACATGAAGAAAACAAGGCAGCAGCCATCACTCTTTTGAAGTTAGGAGTAAATGCTTGACAAAATAAGGAATTTACCTTTAATAGTCTTTTTGGTTCTGGGTGGTGGCACCACCAAAGCACTGCTTCCTCCTTCCTCCAGACTCACACCTTCGTTCAGCCTGGCCATACAGAAGGCGGCGGCATCAACGTTGGTGGGAGCGGGACCAGAAGGAGCGAGCCCGTAACTGGACTGGCTGCTGTTGTGCTCGATCTGCAGTACGCTCAGCTCTTGGTTGGTGAAATGTGAGCGGATTTGGCTGAGGTAGGTCATAACGATGAGCCGGTCAGGGACGGACAGCAAAACCATGTCGGACGGTTCCAGCAGACGAGAAATCCCCAGAGCCTCAAAGCCGTCGAATGCCTGAGATTAAATAAAGGATCAAATGTGCAGCGTAACTGTCATTAACAATAATCAAAATAAAAAAGCTCTGCACATATCGTAAAATTTAGTTTTGAACTTCATATGTTTTGTCATGTTATGAATTACGTGCATTTTATTGCACATTCATCTTATAGATGTAAAAATCTGACAGATGTATCACATGTATCTATCTTCAGTTCAATTTCAATCATAGCTTTAAATTTCCTTTGCTTTAGAGCAGATTCAAAAACTAACTAACACACTAGTGGTTGCACAGAGAACTAAACAATCCATGCCATTCTCACCTTCTTATTATTTAACTTGATGTCATGAGGAACCAAGCATTCAAAATCTCTAATGGGGTAAAAACAGAAGCACAATAAAATTTATTTAAGACTGATGAAAACCATGTAAACAATGAACTGTGCATTCAAAGAAGACATTTCGCATTAGCGATAGTGTAGAAATGCTTTACATTTTGTCTGGATGAAAGTGGTGCAGTATGGCACAGAAGGCCAGGCCGTTTCTCCAGGACGTGCTGAAGTTTGTGACCTTTACACCCTCATAGTTGTTGGTGATGCTCTGACACCACTGGAGCAATGACTGACTAGAGTTCACAAGGTCCTGGAGGAAAAGCAGGATAAAAAACAATTCAGATTATAAACTCACTTTTGAGTGTCTGTTTTTGATCCAGTTACCTCAGTGTCATCCTTCCCATTGACCTCCTCTGTGACCACTGCAAATGGCTCAGTGGTCCTGAGTTCGGGGGTTTCTTCCTCTGGTAACGTCGGAAGCCGAGAATTCTTGATCTCACACTGAAGTGAGGAAACGATGGTATGTGTGCTGGAGGTGTCTTTGGAATGAGATGATTGTTTCACCGGTCCACCAGCAGGTACATCTATTGTTTTGTGCTTTGAGCTAGAAGGCAACAAGGCAGAAGACATATGATGAATAGATGGGAAATATATCTGAAAAAAACCCCCACAAAAACAGGAGAATCCACCCACTGGAAGGAGATACAAGACATGCAGTCGTGCAAAGATGAAAAAGCTGAACAAGCTGATGAAGACAAATGAAGAATGATGGGAGTCTTAGACAACATGAGGTAAAATTCATATAGTATTCTGAATTTTGGCATTATAATTGCCTAAAGCCAGATATACACTATGAAATAAATAAATAAATACATGAAAACATGAAAAAGATGTTTTTTTAAGTACACAGCATAAAGAACAAAATTTTTATCAGTCAAAAAAGCCAATTTGCACAAAAATAGAAATGTACTGAGCTGTTTTCACAAGTCAAAAAAAAAAAATAAAATGTCTACCATTTTCTTTCCTTAATTTGAGGACAGTGAAACAATTAATCTGTGGTCCTGACATGACTACAGTTAAAGTTGCAATGTGCTACAAGTAGGTGCACTAGAAGACAACAAAAGTCTCTCTAATCATCAACTCCATATAACAGAGGTGATTTCAGAGAGCAGCACAGGACCACAGACTTACACTTCTTCCTCATTTAGTCTTATTTCCTGCAGATCATCGGAGCAGGTAATGATTGAGAGCTGACTGTGAGCAGTGACGTCAGTTGCGGGGTTTGAAGGGACTCCTTTCTCCATAACATCGCTGTCAATATCACCAGGAGTGGGAATGAGTCTTTTCATGGTTCGAGGCCCACTGACCGGAGACGTGTCGCCTGACATCTGTTGAATCTTCGCCAGTAAAAGTCTTTCCTCCTCTTGGAGCTGCTGCTCTTTGGACAGATTGTTGGCTGAACTGGGTATCGTCTGGTCATCTTCAAACTTCAACTCAGGACTCCCATATAAATTCACAGGTACTTTTGTCTCATTCACCTTACTGATGCTTATGCCACTGGGTGGTTTAGATACCACCAAAGGTTGAACAAATTCTGTTACATTTGCATCAGAATCAGTTTTAGTAAGTACTCCATGACTCCTTTTTTTCACCGATTGTTGGTCTGAAATTTGTTCTATTGTTTCTTTCACGTGAGACATAAACCGGTAGTCAGGAGGCTGACTGTGAGGTTTATTTTGTTGTTTCACATCAAAGCTAATTCTAGAGCCTTGTTCAGTGGAGGGGGCGGATGCAGGCTTCAGGGCCACAGCAGGAGGCGGGTGGCCTGGGCTAAAGATAAAAAAGGGAGAATTCAAAGCTAAATTTACAGCCTGTGCCAGGGATGACTAACATAGCAAGCATTAACGGCATGCTTTGCCAGATGCAAGCAGCAGGAAAGATGTCACTTTGATGCTCTCAAGTAAAAAAGCACAAAACTTAAGAATCTTTCAAATAGTTTTTGCTATTTATCCCAGAAGTTGTTAGTTTAAAATGATCTTCAATTCTCCCAGAACATTAGTGGACCAAAGACATCCTTATAAAAATGCTGCATCAGTTACTAAAACCATGCTAATCCACCTATTTAGCCATGCAACGCTTAAACAATAAATACACTTCCCAACATTTAAACAGACCAAAATATGTAATTAATATCACATTAGCCTGTTTTATTAGCTTGTTTTGATGATGGAATCTAGCATCTAACTTGGACAACAATGTAGCGGTGGTGTTGTGAAATGCATATATTCTACATGATGCTGTGGTGGAAAAACATCCCACAATACTGGATAGTGCTGCAGACTACTACGACCCATTAGCATGGAGCCTCATGGACAGGGACTAACCATGGAGTCTTCTTTGGAGATGTGTGCTGATCTCCTCCAAATCCTACTTCAGCACACATTTTGTTTTATAATGGATGTATATGAGATGATAATAAATTATTTAGCAAGATTACATTTTTAGAATGCATGCAGACATCATTCTGTCATAAGAAAAGCTAAGAGAACGCCCAAGTCCTCAGTATCCAAAGAACATAAGTTAGTAAATGTTCTAGGAGATGGACTGTGTTACGAGGAAACATCCACAAATGCTTCAAACAGATTTCTCTCCGAACAACAGCAGGCAACAAGGAGATCTTTCTGGCAATAACCAAGTTACTCACCCATTTCTGTTGCTATGTCTCCCTCCCTCACCCCTCACTCACCCTGCATCTCCTTCCATATACAGCTCTGCCAGCCAGATGGAGCCCAGATCTTCCTGTCCCCTTTCATACTCTACTTCCTCTTCCTCCTCTTCTCGCAGCCACACTGGGATGGCATTGTGTTTAGGTTTGGATGCGCCCTGCTTCACTGCTCTCAGACTGGAACTGTGCTGTGCCTTTACATCAGTGCTCACAGAGTCTTTGGCTTTACTATCAATCACCCGACATGTGCTTGCAGAAACAGGGATGACTTTGCTGGCTGGTTCGGGGTCAGAGATGTGCTTCTCATTGCTTCCTTGTAGTCTCTCGTCATATGCGATATCATCCAGCTCTGCCTCCTTCAGAGGCGGCCAAGTGTTTGAGGGAGTTTTGTTTCCTTTTTCTTGGTTCTCAACAAATAAAATACCAGCAGGAGTTTTCACCTCTCTACTCTCCCATCCCTTCATGAGTTTTTCCATCTCTGCATTTTCTTTCTTGTGTATTTCCTCATTTGTCTCATCAGCAAGTTTCCTCTGTTGCCTGAAAAAAATAGTCTCCTTGTCTTCCTTCCCTTTTTCAATTCTAATTCTTTCATTTTCCAACTTTTTTCTCTTTTTCTTCTCCATCTCTTCCCTTACCCTCTCCCTTTCTAACTTTTCTCTCTCCAGTATTTGATTTTGTCTCTTCTCCATCTCTTCTCTCCTTATTCTTTCATTTTCTTTCCTCTCTGCCTGTTCTGTCCTTAGTCTCTCTCTCTCCTTTTTATCCAGCCTTTCTCTCTCTAATCTTTCTCGTTCTTTCTTCTCCACCTCTTCTCTCTTTAGTCTTTCCCTTTCTTTCTTATCTTGCTCTTCTCTTTGCAGTCTTTCCTTTTCTATCGTCTCAGTCTCTTCTCTTCTTTTTCTTTCCCTTTCTTTTCTCTCTGCCTCTTCTCCAATTTGTCTTTCCATTTCTTTCTTCTCTGCCTCTTCTCTCTTTAGCCTTTCTTTTTCCTCCATCTCTAATCTTTTCAGTCTCTCCTTTTCATTCTTCTCTTCTTCACATCTCTTCAATCTTTCCTTTTCAATCCTGTCTGCCTCTTCTCGCTTAAGTCTTTCTTTTTCTTGCCTTTCAGCTTCTTCCTCCTCTTCTTTCTCCCTTTCAGTCTTTCTACGGTTTTCCATTTCCTCTCTTTCTCGTCTCTCCATCTCCAGTTCTCTCTGTTTCTCTTGTTCGCTGGCTGCCAGTCGCAGACTTGCCACCAGGCCCAGTCCGTGCGTTATGTTTACTGCTCCCTGAGCTGATTCAGCCTTGGGAACCTCTTCTTCAACCATCATCTGACTTTCTGCTGAGTCAGAGAAAGCCACAGGAGGTAAAATGTCCACACCTGCAGAGTTTGGTGGCTCATTATCTGGCTCTGCGTTGCACCGGATCGCTGCATCTTCTTTTTGAAAACATGACTGTTCTTCTCTGTTTGCAAGTGGCTGTGATTTATCTGGTGAAGGCTCCTGACTGACACCATTTGATGCAGATGTGTGCAGCATGGAGGCCATTGTCTCATAACTAAGAAGCAAAATATGACAGACAGAAAAACTATGAGACACAGCTCACCCTAAAATGACCCAGCAACATGACCACAGCTGAACTCGATGAGAGAGAACCAGCCAAACATCATGCTTGATTAGTTTCCTTAGTAGACTTTGTTTTGGTGTGCTTCCAAAAAATGCTGCTCAAAGAACCCAAAGGAAATATGGGTTTATTTTTAATAGAGGTAACTCCTCTTTTTGTACAGCCAGGAACAATCAAAATAGTTTCCAAATGATGTTAAAAGCTCCAATTCAAGAGAAAAATAACTAAATATGCAAGTTCTCTATAATCTAAGCGCCATTTTCTGTGTAGAATAAGTGAATTTAACAACAAAACCAATGAAAATCCATCACTGGCACCAATGAAGCAATGCACAGAGATTATCTCTTGTAGGTTTAGGAAAGCATGTGGCATATTTCTGCATAAATATGATCACAAGAGACAGTAATTGATTTGTAGCTAATTTCAGTTTAGATTTAGATGACTTTTTGTATAAACGTTAATATTAATTAGGCACAACTAGACTGCTTTCTCCTATTGTCTTTGCTGTCTGTCTATCCAATGGGGAAAATTATGACAACCTTACAAAAACATTTGCATTCTCTCAAACTGTGGTGAAAGGATCATTGCTGGTGTTTGGGCTGCCTTTTGTAATACTAAAATCTTGGCATCACTTATTTGCAAGATACTTATACACAAGTTATTGTGACAGCCAAAAAGATAAGTAGTTGAAGTTATTTGAATTTTGCTTCAGCTTGAACTTTCCATTAGGAAACAATTTCAATTGGTTCCTGTATGAAGGAACCAATTGAATGGAAATCATGCCTAACTTGACTTTTTTCCATTTGAAGAGTTCAGATGTTCCCAAACCTAAATGTGTACTACTTCTATAATGTCTGTCAGTGTGGTGGTTTTCACGTTGCACCTTTTTATAAAAAGTTTGTAAAAGATTCAAGATGTTTTACCAAAGTAGAGAATAGCCCTGTTGCAGATGATACAGCAATAAGAATAGATCTCACTTGAACTAACATGTAAAATAAAACCATTTAAAATGTTATTTTCATTTAATCTCCAGTTTCCCTTTGGATATTTTTGGCTCTTTTTTTCCTCACTAGTACTAGCATAAAAATACAGGATTCCCTATTACAAGGAGACTATGGTGTCTGAGATTTCCAAAAGGCATCAAGCGTTACCAAATCTGGCATGTTTGAAGACAGATAAAGGTTGAAAACTTGAAAAAGAGTAAACAGAATCTTCACAGTAATCTGTTCAGGCTTCTTGCTGTCTGCTTAGAGTCCTGCTCCCTCTCTTTCTCGCACATCACTAATACTGAAAATAAAATGAAGCTTTGCAATTGTTGCTTGCAAACTTAAATTTGAACCAAGTTTGATGCTCTTTAAATTTGGTTTGGTTACCTATTTTCATAACTGATCACATTTAAACAGAAATCCATTCAAAAAAGCTTCAAAAACATTCAGTCACTATTGTTATTTCAGTCTGCAAAAACCAGCATTCAGCGGCACATCTCGACAGGTAATCTGACCGCAGCAGCAGGCAGACTCACCCTCGGTGCAACACCCCAAACATCGCTGACATGAAGCCAGCAGATGTCTCCTTCTGCTCTTCTGCAATACACACATCATCCTCTGCACCTTTCTGGGTGCTAACACACACATAAAAACAAACGTACGCACTTATTTCACTTTGCAGATCAAATTTCTTCACTTATAGATGTCTACAGGCAGTATGGAAAGAAGCGCTTCAGTGACTCGCTGTTGTTAGGCGCCAGCATGGTGGAATGATGTTAGTAAGTGCAGGTTTGCAGCTGAATTCTAGCAACCATCACTGACTCACCCCCCGACTACAACCTCTTCCTCCTCCTTCACTGCAGGACTTTCAGTGCTTCCCGTCCCTCTTTGTCCTTCCGTCTCCTCTGTGGTCTCCTCCATAGCCGCCCACAGTTTGTTCTCTTCATGGCAAAGCGGCTCTTCATTGATCACAAGGCTCTCCTGATCAGTAACGTTCGGTGGTTTCTCTTCGTCTTCTCCTTCCAGTTGGGATTTGTCTGGTGTCTGGATGTCATTCTCCTGCTGCAGCTCTCGTTTTGGTTTTGGGGGCAACATATCTGTCCTTTCTCCAACTGGTTTTGGGGAATCTTCCGAAGGGGCTACTGGTTGCACAAAAGGTTTCTCAGGCTCTTTAGGCTCCTCTGGAACTGGTTTTGGTGATTCTAAATGTGTCTCTGGATTTTCTGCTGCTGTTGTTTGGTTCTGCTGCGTCACCAAAGTTTCCAACGTGGTAGATTCTCCAGAGGATGAACTGCAACACAAAGAGAGCTACGTGAATACTGATTCATATTTCCTTTAAACTACAGTATTTATAAACCAAAGTTTCACACACTTAACAAACACAAGGATGGCTGGGAGGATAAAGCAGAGAAGCAAGTCCAAAGATGTTCCCTTGTCAGTTCTTACCCTCTGCACAAAGGTTTTCCACCCTCCTCAGCAGAGATTTGTACAGTTGTATCTTTGCAACTTCCTGCTTCTAGCACTTTCCATAGAGGAGTCTCTGCGTCAGACAGCCTCTGTGGAGATGGTGCCGGCGTCAAGACCGCCAATGTCATTATTTTATTCAGCTCCTCTGGGGGGCCTGATTCAATATCACATGGTAAATGAAGCGAGGCGGTTTCTTTCTTTTCTGAGGTATCAGAGTTTGACAGGGAGCATTCCACTACAGAGGGTTGCTTCAGACTGGAGCAAGCAAGAAAAAGAAGGAAACCAAATAAGAAAACAGAGAACAAAGAAGAAACAGGCAGAAAAATGACAAAGAGTACAGCAAACACACAGATATGTGAGACATTTGAAGTCAGGTAGGATGACTGAATATAGTTGTAAGGAGGAGTTGAAAAAATTGAAATGAACACAACATTCTTTCATTGGGGAGAAATTTCATACTTGGTTACCAAATGTTGATCCCATTAACAAAGTTAAGCTGTTTTCTTAAATTTACAATATACTATTCTGGATTCTAGGAACTTTTCTTTTCCACTGTGGTATAAATACAATGTGACACAGAGGCTGTGAGATTTTACAGAAAACCAGGGCAAAATAGAACATTCAGCAAAATTATGTATCAAAGATGATGAATGATTCTTAGATATTTTTGCCTTATTTTTGCTACTATTAAAAATGTTACTGGTGATGAGTTTCTTTTGTTCTGAAAGGCTCGACTTCATGTTGCATTTAGGGTTCAGGTGATTGGAAGAGAAAGAGAGAAAGAAAACTTCATTCTTATTTTTAGTTAATTAAAGAAATCAGTCTTTCCAAACCCATACCACAGAGTTTGTCAACAAAGAATACCAAATGTAAGAAATGTCATGAACAAGAAATAAGTCAGCTCAGTAAGACTCTCAGGTGAGAGTTTTAAATTTGGAAGACAATTCATTTTAAAATAAAATCATTCGATTTTATTGCAAGCACAGAAACAGACCACACAAAGCAGGAAACACCAGTTGGTTACAGCTTCACATCGTTATTGAAACTTACCGCTTTTCAAAAGCAGAGTTCGGTTCACTCAGTTTCTTTCTTTCTTCTGACTGAAGGGAAATTTGCTCAGGCAGCTGTTTGGCTGTAATGCCGTTTTTCACCAGTGGAGGGAACCGTTGAGTTTGTGTTTCACCTTCGACATCCCTTTTGGATTTAGTGAAACCAAGAGGAGAGGTTTTCATCTTCGCCTTGTCCTCATCTGACTTGTTTTCCTCCAGAATGCTGAGTGGAGGGCTTCTCGTCTTATCCTCCTCTTTTTTATTTCTGATCTCTGCCTCCTCCTTCTGCTGCAAAAGCTTCTTCTTTTGCTCTTCTTTCTTTTTCTTTTCCTTCTCTTCTTTCTCCTCTTTCATTTTCTTTTCTGCTTCCAGCCTCCTTTGCTCCTCTTGCAGCTTCCTCTGATTCTCTTCTTCTCTCTTCTTTCTCTCTTCTGCCTCCTTCTGCATCTTTTCCTTCTCTCTCTGCTCTATCAGAAGCCTCTCTTTCTTCTTATTTTCCTCTTCGACCCTTTTCTCCTCTTCCTCCTTCTTCTTCCTCTCCATCCTCTCTCTCTCTTCTCTGAAAAGTCTCTCTTTTTCTTCCTGCTCTTTTTTTCTTTTCTCCTCCATTTCTTTGAGTCTTCTCTCTTCCTCTCTGTTTTTTCTCTCCTCCATTTCTTTGATTCTTTTCTCTTCCTCTCTTCTCTTTCTGTCATCATCCAACCTCTTTTTTTCTTCTGCCTTCTTTTTCTCATCTTCCTCCTCCTTCTTCCTCTTCTCTTCTACCTCTCTCAGTCTCTTCTCTTCTTTCTGCTTTCTTTCCTCCTCCTCACATCTCCTTTTTTCTGCTTCTTGTTTCTTCCTCTCTTCATCCTCTCTTATTTTCAGTTGTTCCTTCTCTTTTGCCTCTTTCAAAAGTCTTTCCTCAGTCTTTCTAGTCTTTTCCTCTTCCAAGAGTCTGATTTTCTCCTCCTCTTTCATCTTCTTCATGAATCTTTCTCTCTCTTGCCGTTTCTCCTCCTCCCTCTTCAGATTTTGTTTTTCTGCTTCTGACTCCAGAAGCTTCGTCTCCTCTTCTCTTTTCTTCTGTTCCTCTTCCTCTTTCCTTCTCTTTTTCTGCTCCTCTTCCTCCTTCATTTTCTCCTGTTTGTCTCTCTTCTCCTTCAGCAGTCTTGCCTCTTCGAGTTTCCTTTTCTCTCTCTCCCTCTTTGCAGCCTCTTCCTCCTGAAGGAGCTTCCTCTTCTCCTCTTCCAGCAGCCTTTTCCGCTCTTCCTCATGCTTTTGCATCTCCTCCTCTTTCTGCTTCCGGTGCATCTCTTTTTCTTCCTCCTCCTTCCTTCTCCTCTCCTCCTCTTTCTTTTGGATATCTGAGAGTTTCTCCTTCTCCTTCTCAGCTGCTCCCTCAAACTGTTCTGTCAGTGATGGCTTTTCATTTGTTTTACTTTCAAGACTGCAGAACAGATAAATAAAAAGGCTTAACTTTTGGGTTTTCTTTGTCAGCATCACCTCACATTCTGAAGTCCTGTGTTAATGTGCTTTGCAAAAGTATTCACACTCTGGGACTTTTTCACATTTTACAACGCTACAAACAAAAACTACAGTGTATTTCATAGGGATTTTATGTGATAGACCAACACAAAACACTGGCAGAAAAATAGTTCATGACTTAATCTTCCATTAGTTTAATTAGACGAATTTTGTTTGTAAAAAAGTATCAAAAACACGTATCCTTTTCATTCCACTTCTTAATCATGCACTTTTTCTGCTCATTTTCCACAGGCAACCCAGTGAAACACAGTAAAGTTTGTTTTTATAATGTGATCAAATTTAAAAAGTGGTGATGGTTTTTGCAAAGCACTCTGTGTTTATTTTTGTGACATTTTGTGACATTGATCTTGTTATTAAAATACAATAAAAAAAAACTCACCCTGCAGGACACCTTTTGATTGTGTCACACCTAGAGTTGTCCTCTTCCAGAAACAATCCCCCTGATTTCTGTTTCTGGTTCAGTGATTTGTTCTCATAGTCACGTTCAAGTGTTTTTCTGGACAGTTTATCACTTACAACACTCTCAATGATTTGGTTTTTCGATTCAATTTTTTCCTTAACATCTGACTGTTTAGGTGTGATAAACGCAGCAACGACAGAGGTGGAGGACTGCTCAGAGGTGGAGCGCTCAGTGCAGGAAAAGGGCCAGGGAGGCGGTGGGGCTATGATCAGCTCTGAGCAGGGCTGAGCAGGACTGAGGACAGAGATATGAGCAATCAGACTCAACAGGTGACAAGATGAGACTGCAAAACCCTGAGCATGAGGACACACGCTGCAGAGCTGTTGGTTATCTTAAATGGAGGGAGAAAAAGGGGGATTCTTACAACAGGAAGTGAAGTGCAGCAGTTAGCAACCCGGAAGCTCCAAAACCAGAAGCACACAAAGGAAACTGAGGTATTGAGAAACGGCAGGCAGACATTTCTCAGAAGCCTTGATTTGTATCAGCAAGAGGAATCACTCAGGTTGGTTAGCTTGGGGCTGTTTGGATCTTTATGAGTGATGATAAAACTTGTCAAGAAAAATCTGGTCCTAACCTGTGACTACGTGTTTGTCACGCCGTCTTTAGTCAATACACGAATCAGACGAAAAGGTTTTTCATTTTCTTCTGCTATTAAAATCCTCGTCAAAACAATGGTGCCACCAAAGGGTAATGGGGGCTTTTTAGGGACCCATTAAATCTGTTCATTTTGCAGTCTTATGTTAAGAGTATTTTATACGATTATGAATGTGAAAAAGGGAAGGGTTTATTTAATTACATTTATTTATTCATTTATTGGGCACAAGTCTTTCATTTTTATACATTTTATTTAAAAAGAGACATTAATTTATGCTGTTTCTGAAGTAATTAACATATTAACGGTTCAAATTGTAATATTTATTTTGAATCTGATACATATATTTTAGGAAAAAAAATGCATCAGATCTTCAAATGGATACTTATTTGAATATTACACCTTTTTGTCATTCTGTCTTTTATTGCGAAACACAGTTCAGTGATTCTTGAGAAAAGGGACAAAACAGGTCCAAAATTCTAATAAAATATGCACAAAATATACATTTTTTAAATGTTTGACTGAATCAGCCTGGGCCATGTGAGCACAACTGTGTATGTATATCTGGTTTTTGCTGATTTTTTTTTTTTTAACATTATAGTAGGTAAATAGTGTCTTTAAAATCCCTTGTCCTGGAGCAGAACTGGATACATTATAATAGTTTTAAATAAATAAAGGAATATTAAGATAATATACTATGATAATTAAGTACAAATATTCAAATAAATAATGATAAAAGTATCAATAAATTTTATTAAAAATCATTTTTATATATTTTCCAACTCAATTGAAATTTGTCCCAAGTTTTTTGTTAACACCATCAGACATAAAAAGAATGTAAAAAAAAAATCAGGCATTATTGGGGGCATCAGAATTTCTGAGGACCCCATGACCTTTTCCTTTCTCTTTTCTTGCTAACAGGGCTAAGCAGCTCTGGTTAGTTTATTCTTTAGTTTTTTCTTCTGTTTTATTCCTAAGTTGCTCGTCACAACCATGATGTGTCAAATATTATCAATGGAACACGTCGAAGTACTAAACACGCACTGCAACATGTTTTCATTTGGAGTTACACAACAAAGTCAAAAAAGTGAGTTTGCACATTATCCTATCAAGAACTATAGAATATCAGCAACTAATGAGAATATTTTCAGTTTATTAATGGGTTTTCTTAACATGAAGACTCAAAACAGGGAAAGTGACTGCACACATGACAAATCCGTCCCACATGCAAATAAAAAAAATATTAAAATATACCTAACACACAAGTCTGAAAATGCAATTTATTAACGCTAATATTTTTATTTAACAGTACTTTCCTTACTGGATTACAAATTTGATATTTTCCAAAACTTTTAAGCAATTGCACTATTTTCAAATTGCAGAGTTTTAATTTATTTAAATAGAAACTCAAGTATAGATTATTTTGGTATTTGATAAAAACTAATAATGCATAATTGTTGTGAAACATTAAACACTTAACAGCAGTGAAAAGAACACCAGCAGCACACATTGAGCCAAATGTGATTTGAGCAGAACAAACCAAGCGGGGCATCACAGTCATGATGGGAAAACTGAGGGAATCCAATCGGATTTGTCCATCATGATGTTTCATCCTGTTAGTAGATTAGTAGTTGGCATGCAACAAAAAAGTCACCGTACATGCAGGGAGTTTAATTTGAGTGTAATGCTCAATAATTACTTTCATCTCAGTTCCAAAAGAGCAAAGAAATAAAATATGTGAAATTGAAAATAACTGAATCTTAAAGATTTCCTTTCCACTCTGAAAGTATTGTCTTAGTTTTAAGTTTCATAAATGCAGTCGGTTCCCAACTCAATGATTAATCATGTCACCTGATAATCATTTAAATACTGACAGCCCCCACAACTGCTTCAGGAAAGTCTGTTCTAGAACGGTTCTGGAGCAGAACCGTTTCTAGTACAAAACATGCATAGTTTTATTAACATGACAATTTCACTATCTTTCCAGTGATTCGGAAAATTCTATTTAACAATTATGTAGCATTGCAGAAAACACATTAAAAACAATTTAAGAGAATTTCAAAATATGGTCTAAATGAATCACATTATTTCATCGCAGACATGTTGGGAAAACTATTGTAAACTCCAAAGAATAAATCTATATGTCCCAATACAATATATTTATTGTCTAGGATCTATTATTTATGCACCTCACAAATCTGGAAGTAGCACGATAGATCAGTTGCTGAAAAAAATATTCCATTTAGATTTTTCAAAAGACATGCAGGGGAAATAAGAAATATCTGGAATCTGTGAGAATCAGTAGATGTTCTGTTCCAGTCTATTCTAACTTTTGTCTTTTGCTAATAAGAAACGTTTGAAGTAAACTGTATAAAAAACTAAAGAGATATCCCAATAGCATATAAGCTTTTGTTGCTTGCCAAAGTTTTAAAAAACATATATCATTCCTTGTACTTCACAATTATGCGTGACTTTGAGATTGTAACATGACAAAATGTGAAGATTTCTAATACTTTCCCAAGGCTAGCTGAATCTCCTTTTATCCTGAATACAGTAATAATATTATATTACTATAATATTAATTTTCCATCCACTTTCTTTTTAAGATTTGTTCACTGTTGACAGATTAATTTCCTCTGACCCGACAGTCTAAAAGAACCAAAGCAAGACTCTAAATTAAGCTCTGAACTCACCTGGTCTTTCCAGCTTTGCTCTCTGCGATAATCAGCTTTGGCTCTTCCAATGTTCGTCTGTTTGTGTCTGTCTGGTTACTGGTAGGAGACGTTTTGTCTTGGCTCATTGGGCTTACAGTTGTCTCTTTAGCTACCAGAGGGACAGACGAGCCTATAAAAATAGAAATCAAGGAAAAAATCATTAGAGTTAGAAAACAAGACTTGATGGATTTCGAATTATCCAAAACTGATATAAATAAATGAATAAATACATGAGACAAGTTTATTAAAAAGCTGGTGTACCTGTCTGACTAGAGCTGATTTGAGCAGGAGGTGAAGAATGAGTAAAAGTGAGAGAGGAGGAGAAAAAAGTCGGGGAGGAAAAAAGGGCAGCAGAAAGAGCTGGAGTCTCTGGGTCACAGAGAGCATCGAGATCTGGACTAGTCAGCAGAGGAACGGGGGAAATGTTTCCAATGGCTGGAGCTGATGTAGGCCAAAGCCCCTGAGTAACTGAGTAAAGATAGAAAACATAGGAGGAAACAGAAAGAAAACTCATATGCAGAAGAGCTAACAGAGGAGGATGGAGGTAGACCAAACACAATGGTTACCTGACTCTGAGCCAGAGGGCGGACATTTAGGGAGAGATGATGATGAAAGTGGAGAGGAATCAGTGGATAGAGGAGAGGGAGAGGTGGGGCGTGCGAAGGATTTCACAATCTGGGGTCTGAAAACATGGGAACGGCCTGATGTGCAGGGGGGGAAGATGGCAGAGGAGGCAAGAGTAAAAATGAAATATTGTAGGGATGAACCGGATAAGCAAAACATCGAATAAAGAGAAAAGACACACCAGAGCCTGAAGCAGAATCATCTACGTTCTGAACCTCTTGGGGGCGCTGCTGGTGCACTGTAGGAGCTTAAAGGAGACCAGAAAGGAGCAGTCAGAAAAAATAAATCACAAAATTAAGACAAAAAGCGAAAAAGAAAATGGATGGAAAACAAACATGCAGTTTAGAAAGCAGAGATAAAACCTTTCCTTTTTCAGATTTGTTCTGCTTTTTCATTATGTTTGCAATGCTCTGATCTCTAAGAGGTTGTGTTCAGAAGAAAACGCAGTCTTAGTTTCTTTCTGTTACTTGGCTTAATAAACCCCAAATTCTCTAAAAAGATAAAACATTACACAGCATGTCAGCATGTTAGCATGCTGTGTAATGATCATTAGTTCTTCTTCATTCTTCTTTATTTTTTCCTCAGCTAATTTTAGATTATGAAAACACAAATCAAAAGCTGCAACCAAACCCTCTCATTTAAAATATGATCCACTAGTCTGGACAGGTTAAGAGACAGTTCTGCTATGGTGGTTCTCATAGTCTAGCTACTGTTCAAAAAATTTCAGTGTTTGCTGCATTTTTATATCGGTTAAAGGGATATTTAGCATTCTAGTGCAAAAAAATACAAATATTACAACCTCTTTTTAGATACAAACGATTTTTTAAATTTAGATTTCTATAGCAGACTAAGACAAAGTAGCTCAGATTTAAAGTGAAAAGGAGAGGATAGAGAATTTTTTTTAACTTATACCCATAAATAAAATCTACTGTAATTAATACCTTTCGGAATTAATCTTAGTTAGAAAATAGAATCCTTCATACTGAGATTTAATCTCAGAGTAAATGGAGCTAATCTAATTCATGTCCCATTTCAATATGCGGATATATAGACATGTGCATTCTTGAATGTCTGTTATCCACCTGTTTATTTTAAACTGCACTTTAGAGAGGATTCAAGCAGCTCAGTCACTCTGCTCAGGTATCAGCAACAGCAGGAACTCTTATTAATTTGTACTTCCTCATGTATAAACTCTATGTATAAATTTTCCTTCTGCTTATTTCCACTTCACTGTGCAGTTTATATTTGCTGAAGCTCATATTTTATTCCTGTCATTCACACATTTGTTTGACCTTATTTGGTTCCCGTTTGGCTTTCTCTGAATTACACCTGCCTTATTACTCTTTAATGTTTATTTGACTTAGTGAATAATTAAAGTCTGTAGTTTTCTATCTCACTGCCTTTGTTACAAATTTCCATTTGTTTTCTATTCATTTGCAACCTTCATGTAATGCTTCCTACTGAATGTGTTGTTTAGACATTCAGTTTAGACTGAATGTGTTGTTTAGTCCTCAGAAGATGGAGATTTGTGTTACTGGTTTTGAGTTGGAGTGTGTTGGTGCTTAAAGTGTGCACACATGGGGATGAAAGCCATTGTTTTGGGCCTGGATGCATCAGAGCTGTTGTTTGTTTGGGGTGAAAAGGTCATTCAATAAGCAACTCAAATTAATTACAACAACAAAAATTAATTTGGTGTACAAGTTTGGCAATAGTCTAGAGATACATACATATTTACCTTCTAATATTTATGAGTGATAAATGTGCATTGTAAAAAAAAAACTTAATCTGAAAGTAAAGATATTGAAGTCAGGTTTACATTAAGCTGCATGATCGACTGCAACTTCAAACTAATTTGACATGAAAGCATACAGTAGTGCAGTCCAGTTAGTTTATATTAGAGGCTCATTATCAGCTGCATACTTGTAGGGTTAGGGTTTTGACAGAACAAAAGACTATGAAAAAGATGAGTTCAAGTAGGTGCATTCACTTCCTGGGTGAAACACAGCATCACTGATAAAACATTTAAATATTAAACTTAACAATATTTTATCAATCATCATGCACAGTCCACTAACAAACCCACCCCCATAGTTAAAAACATACATTTTACAAGACCACCACACTAATAAAACATGCAGCTGAGAGTATGAGGCCTGGCTGCACTGCAAAAACACAAAATCTTACCAAGTAACTTTGGTCTGATTTTTAGTGCAAATATCTTACTACATGTTGAAATAAGACAAAACTAAGTAATATGTAACTTTTTGGCAAGAAATAGGAACTTGTTTTTTGTGAATAATTTCTTAATAATAATAAAAATGTACTAGTTTTAGTTCACTTATAACATGGGAAAATGTCTTGTTATAAGTTAAATTATTTCCAAATAAAATACAATGTTTTCATCAAAATTAAGAAATAATTGAGTCAAAACAGGCTCCTCTTGCTTGCTGATAAGTTGCTCGTAAGTTACTTTTGTCTTATTTCAAATGTACTAAGATATTTTCACTAAACTAGATCAAAATTACTTTTGTGTTTTTGCAGTGTGTATGCCAGCCTGATTCCTAATAGCTTTACCTGAGCCTGCCTGGACGATTCTGGGCAGAGAATGGGGCAGAGAGAGGGTCCAGGTGACAGGGGGCTGAACAGACTGACTCTCATGGGGCAGCTCTGGGGGTTTTTGGAGGGAGGTAAGTTTGGGAGCAGGTGAGATTGGGTTTTGGGTCACGGCAGTGGATACAATGAGAGACGTGGTTGGGAAAGACATGGATGAGGATGTTACTGCTGTTTTAGGTGTTGGTGATGAAGAATGTGGAAGTTTGAGAAGCTCTGAGGACGGAGCTGGAGGTGTATCTGAGGTCGGAGGTGAAGAGGTTTCCACAAAAGCTGGAGACGTATTACAGGAAGATTTGGAGGTTGCTGAATTTTCAGGGAGCGAAAAGGCAGAGGAGGCACTCTGAACTGGGGGAGGCTTTTCTGTGGCCTTTTCTGGAGGACTAGTTACAGAGTCACACACAGCGGTGTCTGAAAGGCCAGTGGTGGCTATTTTCGCCCGCTTAGACCTGGGCGAAGGCTGAGGGGAGGGGCCAGGTGCGGATTGAATGTCTGATTGGACAGGAGCAGCTGAGAACAGATGTCGTGAACGTCGGGGAGAGGGGCGTGGAGCATTTGGCAGAGGAGGGCGAGAATGAAGAATGGAAGTGGAGGGATCAACATCACGCCCACCGACTGCTTTAATAGGAAAAAACAGTGATGAAAGATGGGGTGTGGAAAAAGAGAATCTATGAAATAGACAAAAAGGATTGTGACTGCTGAAACAATGAAACAATGGTAGGATCACATGACTGTCAGTGGCAATACAGTCATGTGAATCACATGTCTTAAAGCAAAACAAAATCAAGATCGCCTGCTGAAACTAAAGCTAGTATAAGAATGTTATCTAAGCATGCTTCCTGTTAAATCTGATCCAATTGTAACTGTGTCGAAGCAAAAATGAGAGCTTAATAACATTGGAAATCTCTTGAAATACTTTAAGAATTTTAAGGTGAACCTCTGGGACTTTTTGGGGTTTAGGGACCACAACTAAAAATGCATACAACTGTCCATTTTAATAGTTGAATCAGAAAATATGGCTTTATTTGCATTGCATTACATCTTATTGCTACCGCAAAATCTAATGTTGACGATCTTTCCTTGGACTACAGCCAATCAGTGCCAAGGAAAATGAATGGTGCTCTTGGATTGACTGCTTTGCAAATGTCAGCTAATATTGTTCCATGTGGCATCATGCCTAGATATTTAAGCTTCCCAATACTTGTAAAAATTGTCAGTTTTTCCACAAATAATTTGGATCAACTGAAATGTTTGTTTATTGGTGAATACTGAAACGGGAATCGACAAAGGACATTTCCTTGCATTTCTAAAAGGTTTAAAGATCTCAGTACTGTGGTTTCACATTGGCAAGGGCTGACAGAGCTATTTTTATATGTCCTGCAGCTAAACTGTTCATCCTAGCAGATGTACTTCAGAACAGTGACGGCTGGAGTCTGATGTGTTTAGTGTTTAAGTGAGAAGAAGTATGTGGGTTTCAGCAGCAGGGCGAGTGACAGGACTGTGTGAAATACTGCGAGACAATCCGAGTGCTTGAGCAGCTGATGCAGACAAACAGACAGTGTTTCCATCCACACCTCCTCTTCACTGGCAAGGAAAAATAGTGACAGAAAAGGCAAGATGGAGCTACCTGAAGCTGGCAAAGTGACTCCAGTGGATGTTCGGGTGTCAGGAGGAAGAGGAGCAGGACGGTTTGGACGAGTTAGTGTGTGTGGAACGACTGCATGAGCCATTAATGGAAAGAGTCCAGCAGAGAAGGAGTCAGAAAAAACAGGGTAGAAAAAAGGGAAAGTTGTGTCAGAGGTGTGATGATAGGGAATGAAATCAGGAAAACGTTCTACCTACCTGTGGCAGTGACAGACTTCCGGTCCTCCTCTTCATCGCTCTCATTGAAGTCGTCCAAGTTCCCGATATCAGTGGGTTTAACACTCATGAGGCTGGCAAGACTCTGCATGTCTTCATCACTGAGAAACAGTAACAAAACTTTATCACACCACTGTTACAGATGGGTAGGAGACATCACTTTAAGGCATTGAATCATCAAATATGTGATGCATTTGATACCAAAATATGTATTTTATTCTTAATAACTTCCTTCAAAATCAGAAGAAACCTTCAAAGAATCATGCAATGAAAGTATTGGGAAAACAGTGACCATCACACTCATGCTTATTTTGTGGGAACAAAAACAATCCAACACTGTTGACACTCCAACAATTAATTTAAGATAAACTAACTCAAGATAAACTAGGAAAGGTAAATAGGAAAGATAAGAGATATGCATCATACGTCTTTGACGTATGACGTATGATATGCCATCAAAATGCATGTACTGTCTACTGTCATAAACCCAAACAAGTGCAGTTTGCTAAGCGCTACAAGGACATTAACTGAAACTATGTGATGTGAGTTTTAGGAGCCTTGAACAAAAACAAATCCACATAGTTCAGTATGAAACAAAGGATGAATGTGATTAAGCGCCTCATGGACATTTTGGATTATGATGGAGGATCTGTAATGCTGTGGGTTTTATTTGTCTTCCTAAAGCCCAGGGAATCTTGTTAGTGGCAACACGAACTCAATGAAATTCAACAACATGTAAAGCAGATATCTGGTGGCTTCTGCTAGAAAACTAATAATGGGTCATCGGGTCTTTCTGGACAATATTGACCCAAAACATGTGTCCACATCAACAGAGAACTCATCCACCAGACAGAGAATCGACCTTCTCCTGTGGCTATCTCTGTTTCCAAACTGAAATCCTACAGAAAGTATGTGTTGATGCAAAGAAAGAATAAGAGAGAACCTCTTTTTATGTTTGATCCTGGTAAAAAATTTAATAAGAAATGTGGAATTTCAGTAAAAGACTGGCTACTCCATCAGAAGATTTTTTTTTTTTCAGACAGTCCAAGACAGTAAAGTAATTCAAACAACTTACGTAGCTTTTCCTTCTCGAATAAAGACACACGACAGAGACAACTTGAGCTCAGCCTCCACCACTTTGACCGACAGTGGCTTCAGCTTCAGAGTCAGGTCAGTCTGGGTCGGCGTGGGACTGGCAAAGCGCTTCAGGTTGATGTCAGCAGAAGCTAGCACCTTGCGGTGACCTTTGTTCTCCTGTGGATAATGAGTTGAAACAGTCTTTGAATTTAAAGTATTTTATCTGGCATTTATTTTCATAGTGAAAGTTTTATCTGTTAAAGTAGATGTGATTATTGTTCAGGCAGTAATACTTTAGTCATCCAGTTTTTTAAAACACACACTGCATGAAAAAACAGCTAAAGGGGAACAAAACAACAACTTAAAAATCCTGAAGACATAGTAATGAAGATTTCTTTAAATGATTACAAAAAGTTAAAGATTACAGAAAACTTTTTGCACACTGCACTGTAAAAAGAGCTTGGGTAAATTTGCAGCTTGAACAGTAAAGTGATACTTACCCCCTCAAGCACAAATGTCCATTCCTTGTCCTCAAACACGTCCGTGTTAGGTTCCTAACGGAGTGATAAGGAAATTAGTTTTTAATTAAATATTCTCTAAACTTTGTAAATCTGTTTCTTTTATCTCTATAATTTTATATTTAGATATGCATTTAAAAAGTTGGCATATCTGGAAGGGGTCCAGACGTGCCAACTTTTTAAATCTAGGTGCAACTCAAAATATTGACTTCCTGTCTTCAGTTTTTTGTATACATTAGTCATTTATCTAACACGTTAGCTTACTTTGAGGCAAAATGCGGTGGAGGAACTAAAGCACATCAATGATGGTTGTGTTCCATTTCAGCATCTTTGCATTTTGGTTGTTAGGTAAATTATGTGCAAAACCAGAACTTTATCTAAAAGAAACGCAGCCCCAGTTAAAGATTGCAAAAGGAGGCAATTTACAATAAGTAGAGATAACTTTAGAGAGTGTAAAGAGCAGAGAGACTGTAAGTAGTTTGGTTTTAGATGTTATAAAAAGTTAAACAGATAAACAATTTCCTGGGCCACCTCTCATAGTGTTTGAAATGGGATACCTTGAACAATGTAACGGAGATGTCAATGTTTTCTGGAACAGGCCATATCACCGTTCCCCTGTAGGGGTTCTTTATCCCAGGCTGCCAACTGTGGAGCTGCACAATAAAAAGTTAACATTAACAAATGCATTCTTAAGACAATTACGAGGTACTATTTTTTCTTCAGATGTAGCAAATCAAACAGCAGAAGTCACATTTCTTAATGCCCAAGCAAGGAGAGGAGATGTCTAATAACTGTGACTCTCTTCAGCCAGCAATGTTTCTGCATCAAAATCCCCTGCAGTCCCTTAAATGGCAAGTAGGAGCTGGCAGTCTCTGCAGTTACCATTAATTTGTCAGGCTTTAGCACAGATATGTGCCAGAGCATCAAGCTATAGGTCCTACAGCCAATTCACCACTTTGTCTCATGGATATAGTGGATTTGATTTAGGCATCTTAACTGGATGATGCATCACACTTGAACTTTGATATTCTCTAACATGTCTGTTTAGGGGTTTTAATTCACTATCAGCACATGGACAACCTTTAAGTCAAAGCTGGAGTTTTCTTCTTAGTTTTGACAAATACAAAGTTTTAGCATGCATCAGCAAATTTCTCTAGAAAGCAGACAGAACAAATGCCTATATTTTTTTTTTCATTTTAACTACTAAGGGATTTTAAAATGACAGAACATCAACTAATGCTAAGTAAGGTTCTCATTTGTTCAAAATGATGTTGCTGTTGCAGATTAAGGGAAGGCTTTTGTGTGTGATCCCAAAAGGAGAATCCGCCTGAGAATACACACACTCATGCTTAAATCTGTTGTGTTTTGTCATCTCAGTTTTACCTTGGAGCACATGCGTCTGTTCCTCCTGGTCCACACCACTCTCAGCTTGTCTGGTTGCCTTTAGAAACACACAAACACACCAAAACAGAAATAAGACCTTGTCTAATGTCGTAACTCAATAATTAGACCTAGTACACACTCTGCTTGAAAGAACAAGTGAACAGGACAAGAAAAAGGGATGTGGAAAAGGTTTTCACATGGAACTTGGAAAGTTTTTAAATTGGATGTCAGACCATCTGAACAAAGTGGACTTTATGCCTAAATGCGATGCCACGAGATCCAACACAAAGTCTTATGACTGTCACTGCTGAATAATACTGCACTGCGTCCAAGAAAAGCCAGTGCTGGTTGTATGAGAGTGTGCTTTTGCAGGAGGACATGGTGACATGTCCAATTTGTCTATCAGTATTTATAACCCAAGCAGCTGCTCATCTGTTATTAGACTGAACAGGATGAGCATTCTGGTACATGTGTGTGTTGGTAGCATCACTGTGTGTGCTCCTCTTAGGACAGGAAGTGAAAACGGAAACGGCAGAGTCACATGACCAGGCTGAGAAGTATGTCTTACAGGAAGAAGAAACCCCCAGTAGTCTTCATGCAGATAAAACTGTATAATACAGATAATTTTTCATAAAACTCTCTAACACTCAGTGGGAACACAGTCAAATGATGAAACCCACATGTTTCCATCTATGGCTCTGTGATTCTCACTGCTGCCTTGTATGTGAGTGTTTAAGTTCAGCCAACAGCGCTTTGTGTGCACACGTGTTTATGTGGTATGTGTGCTAGTGGGTCGGCTTCAGAAATAGCCTGGGGGGTACACAGTGGGGATGATGGCTGGAAGAGATGAGGCAGATTTGGAGGAAATAATGAGGAGTGTCATAACTTCTGCCAGAAACAAAAGTTATGACATGAAAATGAAAGATGCAAAATCATTAAGTAAGTGCAGAGCTTGTGGGTAATGACAGATAGCTTAGGCTGAGGTTTTACAGACAATAGAGGTGGAATTAAAGTTAGTAACATGTTATTAGTACAAGGCTGTTCAAAACAGCAATGTTGATGTCTTTATTGTGTTTCTCAAACACTTTGCTGGTTGGTTGCCCTATCTCTGGCAAATCTTAAACCTACAGGAAATGATTAGACAGATTTCTTTTGAGGAAGTAAAAAAAAAACAAAAAATCATGTTATTCTTGTGACTTTCTAGGGACTAAGGTGCTTATTTGTACATTCACCGCATACAGACCAATGCTGCAATCAGTTATGATTTGTTTTCTCATTGTCTGTTTTTGACCTCCAAAGACATGAGAGTATTGGCTGTAAATCATCTGAGCTGAAAAATAAATAGCATTATGTGGCTTTCAGAGCAAAGTAACATTCAGAGAGTAGGTGCATGCCTTCATATTACTGCATATCCTAAGCTTTTAGGAATATCTTCCACGTGGCTCATGATATCACCTCCTGCACCCGATAAATGATGTGATGTTTGAGGTCTTCAAAACCTTTGTACGGTTTAAAGTACAAATCACACAATGTTTTGGATAAGCTGTAGGTTTTTCTTTTTCTTTTTTCTTTCTTACTTGGAATTTCTCCCTTATTGCTTTAATACAGAGGAGAGAAAAGACTGGAATAGGCCTTCATCCTTTTCAATTAGATAACCTGATCTTCGCTGACTAAACTTCAAAAAAAGAATATTAAAACTTCCATGTGTGGGTGATAAAACCTTCTGGAAATTATGCCTGTTAGATAAACTGGACACTTTGAGGCAGTTGTGATTCTGATGGTCAAGTATTCATAAGTCAGCTCCACATTTGCTTTGAGGACTGCCTTAAAAATTCATAGCATTGATTCAACAAGGTGTGGGAAACATTCACTAGAGTGTGAATCTGTAGCAGATCAGTTAACGGCATATCCATGAAGATTTCCATCATCCTGATCAACCGTTTGAACCCCAGCATGTCACCTTCACCACTCTGCATGCTTGAATAATTCAAGTTGGTACAATGTGGTTTATTTGGTAGTTGTGTTAACCAGTTAAGACTGGTCTACATAGAGAAGGTGATACTGTAATACTGCACAGTCAGAGCATTTAAAGTGCCATTCAGTGTAAGTGGCTATTAATCATTTTATTTATATTTTGGATTAAAAACCAAGCCCAGTAATAGCCCAACCTTATTGGACTAAATAAATCAAGTTCTTCTAGGTTTCTGTTTACCCTACAAGACCTGTAAAAGACCTGATTAAATTATAAAAAGTCCACACAAGAAGGGAAAATCCCCACACTCATGATTCCCATGATTGCCTTACTATGTCTTCATCGAAGGAAAATAAAAACTTAAATATAAGCTATACATTGAGTAAATTAAATGAAAGGATCTTGACTAATTCACACTGACTTTGAGGAGATCTTAACAAGGTTTAAATCTAGTTCGCTGAAATGTGCAGTTTGCTTATGTCTTTTTACTTCTAAATAAGAGTCACGAATTAAAGTTGTGTTAAAGTGTTTCCTAACCTCATTCCTGAGATCAATAACACATGTAGGTGTGCCGGACTTTTGCCTTTAAAGATAAAGAAACTTTCTGCTCAGTGTCACAAAGTTATCTGTCAAAGGCGGGGATCGAACCGACGACCACTAGCTTCAGGCTGCGGGCGGGCGGGGCGCCCTCAGCTGCCTCTGTTTAGCGGAAAGACCCATAACGTGAGGCTGATCATGGCCACGACGGAGCCTTATTACAGCTAATAACGCACACAAACAGCTCTAGAGAAGAACGTTTTAAAGTCAAACAGTAAAAAGAGACGTTGACAAACCGACGTTACTCACCATTTCTTCGTGCACTCCAAGACAAGTTCCTGATAAGAAGCGATAAACTGGAACTTTGAAGCCTTTTTACCGACTCGCTGAAGTCGTTTCCAGACCGACGTCATCGCCGCTGTCGGTAAGGTTGAGGTTTACACCCAGGGAGAGTTGAATAATCCAACTTTTATCGGCTGGTTCTGCTCCTTACAGGAGGGTTTGCCTCCTCTTCATCCGCCGCTGATGAAACTCGCACAAGCTGCGACTTGCGCTCATTTGCAACACCTCGAACTGCACGCGCACGACACAAGATACAACTTGATGTAAACCAAGAGGAGAAAAACAACGACAACAGGCAGGAGCAGCAACAGAGAAACTGACTTCCCTCTGAGGCTTGAAAAAGTCCCGACTAAAAAAACTGCAGGAGTTCTCACTGACAGCTTGTCTTCCCCTGTTTGGCTCTAATCCACATGGAGGCAGCACAGCTTACTCAACTCTGGGTTGTTGTAACACAGATCTGCTTCCTCTTGACTCAGCCAACCCTCCCTTTTTCTGTCTATGTCTGTTAGAGAGAGAGAGAGGATATGCAAAATGAGTTTATATTGATGCAGCAGCAGCAGGCTATGCAAAGTCCCTGTAATACTTGGAGACTTTGACCCTGACTTTCTGTATCACTGGAGCAGCCTTATCTAGCTTTATTTCACATAATCACCTCTGCATAGTCTAATTTCTTTGCAGAGTGCAAGGGTGAAAATCCTATATTGGAAAATTCTGTCCTTGGTTTGAATCAGAAGTCTCAGCTGTGACTAAGTCACTTCCTGAGCAACGTCACTCCCAATGTTTCAGGGAAAACTGTGCTGCTCTCTGTAGCATAGTTTCCACACGAGAGAAACGGACCAGGTTCACTTTGTAAGTATGCGTCTGTGTGATTTCAGGTTAGGTCAAAGCACAGGGATTTTCCTCAGTGAGAGCAGCAGAGTATTTTTAGGCAAGGATCATTTATGGACAGAGGCAGCTGGATGGAGGAGTGTGGGGAAGCAACAGCGGGACGGGTGGTGTGGGGGGGCAAATCTCTCATGACTCAGAGTTACTCTAATTTTACACTGTGGGTTCGGTCTGCAGTGCTGTCCTCTCCTCGTCCAAACGTGAACCGACCTGTCAGTGTGATGCTCTGATGTCTTCATGTATTGTAGTTCAGAGCATGAACAGAAACTTCTTAACCTCATTTCTGCTGTGCTGTATTGGGGTAATACAGCAACAAAAACATATTTACTAATGAAAAAGCTGAATATTCAGCCCATTTTACGCTTTTGCTGAAAGTCATGTTGGGGACATGACAAATGTTTCAAAGAAGGTCAAATGAGACCAAAATGAAACGAAGAAAGAAGAATGTTGGTGGAAACATACCTTCAAATCCTTGTATGAAGATTCCTCTTTTTCTTTTGTGAAGAGGTCAAAAGGCGCTAATACTTTTACAAGACAGTGTAGCAGTTCAGTATCTTAACTTATTGAGGATCTCAATTTGCTCTGATTACTTTAAATCTGTGCATATTTTGGGCATTATTTGATGTCTTAATGTGGTTTGACTGTTTAATTAGCAATTTGGTAATTCATGTGTCATTTTGTGTCCAGTTGAAACCATTTTTATTTTAATGAGTGTCAGACTTTGCTCATTAGTTGCTGCTATTTGTAGTCAATCTACGTGTAATTTTTACCTTCATATTAGATGCATGTTAAACGTGCTCTTTCACTTTTATTGCACAATTTCTTTTAATATTTTTTAAATATTAAAATCTGTCTGATTTAAAGACAGATTTGACAAATGTTTTACCTTTTGCACACAACATAATCTGGTCCTCCATTTTTCTCCTTGCTGGTATTCACTCCATTAACTTCTGGTTAACCATATCATGACTTTACAGTTAAATAGGATCTTATTCTCCATCCAAGTGGGCAGAACAAATATAAAAGAAATGTGACTACCAGTTATATATGTCCATATTTGAATACAGCTGATTGAAAGCCACAAATGAGAATAGTTTTGAATGACATGAACATAATTTGGGTACATTCAAATCTTTAGCTCAGTAAGTGGCAGACAGAGGGGGACGTTTTCTACCTTTTCTGATATCTCTGTATCTTGTGCACCTTTTAAATAGTGGAACATGAAACCATCCTTTGAAAACTCCCCACACCAAATGTTTTCTCCATGCTGCTGCATTTGGATGACTTAGGGGCATAACGGAGAGACGGAGCCTCTTCATGTGTCTATTCTCTTGGCTTAAGGCGCATTAATATACTGCAGAGTTTAATTTTTCAGCATTAGAGTCCAAGTATACATCCAAATCTACTGTGGGGTCTCCTGCAGAGGCTTTGGACAAGACATGTCCTCACAATTTGATAGATTTGGACATTTCTGTTCGGTGAAGAGGGTAAATATAAATGAATATGTTGGATCCTGACAGACTCCTGAACACTGGAACTGAATCAAAATGTGCTGTGAAAAAAGCAAGTACTCCAACAATGTTGTCCCTTAAACAAGCAAGTTGCTGCATCTTGTTTTTAATTTTTAACTCTTTAGTCAATTTAATGTTTGTTGTTTATTTGAATTGTAAAATTCACATTAGAGGGGAAAAAAAAGGATCATTGCTATACATCACCAAAACCTGACATTTTACTTGATGCTTTCAAACTATGTGTGGGAGTTAAATAAATAAAACAAGACAGTTTATTTTGGCATTCAGAGCTATTGAAGGCGTGTTTGTACTAAATAAAAGTTGTTTCTAGGATCTGGGAAAATCTCATAATTAATATCTGTGACAAGTTTCCAGATCATAACATAAAGAAGATGTCAGAAAGGAATCTTTGGGTTTTAAATGTTTACTCCTTAGAAATAAACTCCCACAAAAGGCCAGGAAAAGGCACATTTTTAACATACTGAAGTTTAATATCACAAAAAACATGTTCTGTCTGACCTTTTAGAAATGTATTTAAGTCAGAGCATTCCTACGAACTTCAGCTGTTGTTTACTTTTAACTCTTTCACTATTTAGGTATAATTTACAGCTTCATCAAAGGATCACATGAGCCAAATCCAAATTATTCTGCATTTACACAGTGTTTTCATGTCGATTACTGTGCAAATGGAGAAAGCACATTTTTGTGTGAATCTTTTTTTTTCCTACATGCACTCTTTAGTGTTATCCCAAAAATCCTAATTGTGCTTTATCTAAAATGTTCATTCCTTTCTAGACACAAACTATATGCAAACGATTAAAAATAATAATTTATTAAACCAGGCATAAAAGTTAATAAATGTGTACAAAGTACAAATCTTACTGAGCAAAATGTGCCAGATAAACAGGCATGTGATAAATTAAAACGTCAATAAAAAAGGGTCTCAAAGAGCCAAACGGCCTCTTCACCATTGGTCCATGTGTTTCTATTAACTATAAATGAAAGGAGTTTCTGGGAGAGTGCTGAGAAGAGCTTTGTGCTTTATCCTCATTCTTCTCCTCTAGTTCCTCCTCCTCCTCTTCATCCTCAGAGTATCCGTTATCAGCGGTGATGGAGGCTTCGCCCTTGCACTCCTGGATGGCCTCATGGAGAGACCACAGCTGGCAGAGCAGAGACATGTCGAGCTGACGAAGACCCACCTGAAATACAGAAGCAGACAATGAACCAAAAAGTCCAGATTGTTAAAGCTCCCATACAGATCCTTGTGTTTTAGCTCATTAAGATCACAAATAATGTATTTTGAAGGTAAAGTTAAGACATTGTGTAAAAACTGTGTAATTAAAAGGAAAAAAAAATTAAAATCCCTTTTAAAACCATAACAACAGAAAAATGGTGACTCATTTTTTCAAGAAGTTTAAACCAAAAATGTATAATTGAGGGAAAATGACACAGTAATAAAACATTCATTCTATTCTGGAAAAGGCACAAAGAGAAGGCAAATAGTTAAAATACTGTTTTAATTTCCTAATTTGGACAAGTAAACAGTTCATGGGAAGCTATCATATTTTTCTCTTTCTTAAAGTCAAAGCTTATGCAAGTTGATAACTTTTAAGTTTGTAATGCAGTCCAAATGCATTACAAACAAATGCACTGTCCCACCGTGGATGCTTTGCTGCAGATGAGTAAACAGCTCACCATCTCTTTGCGCAGCAGCGCCAGCGTAGCGTCCAGACCACCAGGCTTGGCAGCAGCCGCCTCTCTGCCTCCTCTGCAGCTGATCTCGGCTTGGATGCGGCTCCTCTTGCTGTGCATCTTCTGCATGTCCCTCCAGGACCCGCCGCTGGAGTTCAGGATCCCGCTCAGGCTCTTAGGCAGCGGCGGCAGCCCCTCTGCGGCGAACACAGCGGCACCAACCCGACAGTCTGCTCTGCTCAAACTCCCGTCCATGACACTTTTTCCTCAGTAAAAGTGGATTTATCGCTTTCAGAACCTCTCAGGATCAGCTGCTCACACAAAGGCGCTGTTTACTCAAAGAAAATGACATCATCTTCCTGGATTCAGACGAGAGCAAAGGGATTTTTGGCCCCAGAAAGAATATGAAGCTTCCGGGCTTTGTTTTGCATCCTGCTCTTTGTGTAAAAGAAGGGGCGTTCACTGACAGCCCCCACCTCCCCACCCGGACAAAACAAAACCCCGCATCGATGTTTGCTACACATGGAAACTGATTCTGCTTTGAGCGACTTAACTAAATAGTTTTCATTTATGTGGATGCAGTTATTTGCTCTAACGAAAATGTTGAGCAACATTTTTTTTGCACTTAAAATCCAGAAACAGCAGTGGGTCTTTCACACATCTGAAATGTGTGGAAGGAAAATCTTTCCAATAACAGTCCAGATATGTGGAGTTCACGACTAACATTCAACACATTCAATCAATGAATCTCTGCAGCTCCTCCAAAGTTACTATGAGCCTTTTGACTGCTTCTTTGATTAATGACGTCTTTTGCACAACTGCTGATGTGGCATCAGACTTGTGGACGATAACTTGAAATATATCTGATGTTCTTATTAATTTAAACCTCTGATTCCTCAACTTTTCCACTGACCTGTCTGCTGAGCTCCCTGCACTTAATCAAGGTGTTTGATTAAGTCAAACACCAGAATCCCTTAGTGGGCAGCTGCATCTATGCTGAGCTTAAATTGCAGGTGGTTTCTACACCCGCATTTGTCGACTGACTTTGTTGGTAATTGTACTTAATTTTTATCTAGATGAGCGTAAAAGAGGCTGGATAATGCACAGCCCAGCAAGCTTTCATAGAACCTTGGACAGCTGGTATCCTTTCACTTCACAATTAAGTTTCACTTTTTATTGGTCAGGTAAAAAAATTCCATTATTAAATGCAGGTTGTGACATGAAATATAGACCGAGAGTAAATACTTTAGTAGAGCACTGTATTACTTAAGAACTCTGAAAGTCAATGGGAATAATAAATTCAGTTTTATTTAACCTATTTATTAAAAAAATAGATAATTTTTGTCTCCCTCTTGTGGAAAGAAACACACTGTGCAAATTCAGAACAGGATTTAATTCTGATCCATTATAAAAAACTAGCTACTTCGAACACATGATGAAGGATGGGACCTTTAAAATGAAGTGCCGTCATATGATGTACAATTGCAAAGATTTTATTTATTCTACTTGCCATAATAAACTGAAAAAAAAAAGTCATACAAGCATCCATGCAAAACATCCACATGACTGTCGGCTTTACTTGACAGTTTTTCTTTCTTCCAGAAGCCTCACAAACCACGTTTGCATCTCAAGGGGGTCAAAGACAAGTCTTAAGCCAAACAACTTTTGAACTGCAACTGATCTCCTAAAGGTTAGATGTACACAATATCACATTCAGGCATGTGAAGGCTGGATAAATTTGTTAATTTAACAAATCTGGTTTGCAGCACAGAACATTTTGCAGATGGCTGTGGAGAAACAAGAGGGCACAAGATCTCAAGATTTCATTTTCTATGTAGAATCTCCCTGGTTTAATAATCTCAATAGGATACATTTAAACTAATATGAACAAGTCAAATGAAATGCTAAATGTTGGTCATTTTAAGTTACAATTTGACAAAAGCCATTTCATCAGTATGTCATTTTTCTGTTAGGTGCATGCCTGCATAATTTCAGGGGTAAGTCGTGCACTTTGAAACATCTGAATCCTAATTCAAGTGTGTCGAGGAACAACTTCAGATTCAGCCATAAGCAAGTATTCAAATAGAGAGAAGCAAGGCAACAGTCAGTACTCCGAAGCAAAGAAGAATCAGCGCTCCTATTACTTTATGCTTTTCATCTGTCCTGTGTGCTTACTGGCTGAGCTCCCTGAGGCTTCGCAGTGAGTTGGCACAGCTGTTGATTAGGCTGCACAGCTGGATGCTGCCCTCCAGCGAAGCCGAGCTTTGTAACTGGGTGGTGGCCCAGCGGAGTTTAGTCAGAACCGCTTCTTCTGCTTCTTCCAAAACAGGTCTCAGGGTGGTGTTCTGAGGACAAACTGGGGGACGGATGGGAGCCAGGGTGGTGGTGGAGGCAGGAGGCGGAGGACACATGACGACAGGTGGCGGCAAAAGGGCCCTTCCTCCAGCGGCGGCCCCCTCGCAGTGCTCCGGTCTGGGCTGAGGAACCGACATGCTTGCCTGACTGGTGGTTGGTCCTCCATTGAGTTCAGGTGATGCTGCCGGGATCAGGGCTGCCAGCTGTCGCTCTCTGACCTGGGACAAGGCAGCTTGTGGATTTAAAGCTAAAAAGGAAAAAAAAAAAAAAAAAAAAAAAAAAAAAGAGGGCAAACTTAAACATCTGTAAAAAGAAAAAAGTAAAAAAAATGGAAACTGCAGAAAAAAAAAATCATGTAGGAGTTTACCAGGGTTGTCCTTATCAATATCAGAGTCCAGCTCCTGACATGAGACACAGTAGTTCTTCTGCTGTCTGTCCTGAAGAAGAACAGTCTGGAAACACAAACATGTGCCTTAGATAAGTGAATCTTTCTCCATTGTTTACACTCAAAGTCATTGCTACCAGTAACACTGTTTTTTACTCAGATTGTACCATAAATGTCTGCAGTGCGATAATCATTACTGACCTTTAGCATCTTCAAAATGAGAAAGGTCACAGGAAACACACATGACAAAGACAAGAACACCAAAACAAGAGACATAATAGTACAAAAAGCCCTAAACTGTCATTGCTGCAGAAGCAAACATGTTAATGGAAAGTTGAGAAGAAGGAAAACATGCAAAAGAGATTACTGCAGCCTCGTTCCAAGAGTTTGGGGCTCAACAACAAACTCCTTGGTCTGCAAAAGTATTTAATGATTATACAAATGCCATAATTTTATTCATTATGCATGAAAGTAATTTAGTGATGCTTGTGCCACAAGCATGATTAATGAGCACAGGGACTGAAGATTGGCCCATGCTGTCCAACCTGACAGAGAGAGAAACTGATATTGGCTGAGGAAGTAAATGCTGGAGAAATATTTGAAGATACACTCCAGATCCAATCACCTCTCATTACACAGGATTTAAAAAGTATCTGCCACTAAAATCATAAAACAAATTTGGACTGCTTTGACAGTAAAATGCAGGCTGTTATTCTGACTAGATTATCACAAGCAACGTCGTGCTTACCCCGCACACCTCGCAGCAGTCCCCCAGCATCTTGTACCCTTTCAGGAGGTAATCTCCCATCAGCTTGCTGATCTTGTCCTGTCTCTCCCTGCGGGCCTGGACCACCTTCATCTCAGCTTCTGTTGGAGGCTCCCACTCAAAGTCTTCGTCATCTACAGGTCGGCAACAACCAGTGAAAAACAATATCCGGGCAAAAACACTCTGATAAGATCAGCTATGCTACATGCACACACTTCTGTAATATCATTACAAACATGCTCCCTTTATCATTGTGTATTACACATTGTAAAGCTTTCAGTTATTCTGCTTGAGTAAAGTTTTACTGATCTCTATTTGCTTGCTACGGATAGTTGTCAGAAAATAACAAGCTAGCAGTCAAAGCACCCGGGGTAACGTCAGGATAACGACACGAACACGAAGCAGCTCAGTCGATACAAGCTAACAGAAATAAGTGCTAAATACTATTACACATAACCTGGACAAGTTCTTTCTTAAAACTAAGAAATTAACAGACAGTTACGTTCACAAACCTCCATTCAAAGCCATGTTGCTTCAAAGCGGCTACACGTTGTGAGTGACGTTTCTTCTTCGTGGCCCGTCAAAGTGTCAGGTGGCGTTTACCGCCCCCTGCCAGCCTTTTCAAAGCCTTCTTCTTCTTCTTGGATTTCACTGGCGGGTGGCAAACAAAGTTTCAGTAGCATTACCGCCACTTGCTGGTATGGAGTGTGATTCGTAATGGTTTGTGTAACGGATTGTAAAATGAAATGTCTAAATTATTTGTAGTTTATTTAAATTAAACAATTTAAATGAATTTCTAATTTAAGACTGTTGCAGATTGTTTATGTATGTTTGTCTGTTTTGGTTTGCATTGTTGGTGATTTATTTGGTTTAATGGTATTTTGTAATGTTTTGGGATTTTTTTTGTTTAATACGTACCTCACGGGCTGCCGTAGAGAAAGAGGGCAGGGCCTATAAAACTGGGGAATTGCAATGAACCAAATGAACTGTCAAACGTTGGACTAAGAAATGGCGTTCCCCAGTAAAGGCAGCGAGGTACGTTTTTGTTTGTTGTTGTATTGTTGATTTGTGTTGTATTTTAATATTTGTATTTGTTTAGTTTTCACGGTGATGGTGATGATGATGGAGGTTTTGAAGTCAAGTGACCTGACGATGATCCAGCAAAATCATCAAAGGAGAAATAAAGCCAATATCACCTGTCGAGACCGGCTGTTTTTTAATTCAAGTACTGGGGATCAGCTATAGTGAAACTCGTAGTCTCCGTGTGTCGCCTTCCACTGACGGTGAGACGTTTGGTACGGACATCGCCGAAGTTTGTCGCTCCTCGGAATCAACGCTACAATGAGGAACTGTCTTCGCGCTGGATCCAAGTTTGTATCAGAAACTGAATCTGACAGATGACCACTGGAGCGGTGAGACATTGACTGATCAATCAACGCGGAAATAACGGCACCTGCTCGATATTTATGAACTGAGTTTAGACCGCTATTGGGTCAAATGAAATTCTGAATTATTTATAAGGTAGTAGCATATGTAAGAAAAAATTATTAAAAAAAAAACAAAACAAAAAAACAATGGTGTTTTGTAATTAAATGTTAAGTTTGAATGTGGGTTTAATTTCACTGTAAGGTCTTAGAGTTAAGATGTCACTGCAAATGAAATGGATCTTTCTGCTGAAGATGTGAAAACTGAAGAAAAGCCAAAGGGACAAGAGTTGGTTTCAGGTCCTCGCACAAGAAAGTTGACTGAAAAGGGAGAGCAGTACAGAGAAGAAGAGTCTGCAAAACAGATAAAGGCATTTCTTAAGTCTTATGCATCCTGGAAACAAACTGCAAGAGAAGCAAGGAAGAAACTAAAGGGTTTCTGCTCTGAGGAGAATCTGGATGAAATAAATAAGCAAGTCCAGAACAGTCTTGGTAAAGTGAAACAGAATTATGAGTTTCTTCAACGTAATTTTTTAAATACTCCAGATATTGTGCAGAAACTAGATGCCTGTACTATATTAACAAATGAGATTTATGATCTTGTGTGTAAGCGTTTAGAAAGGGGTATTGTGAGGAAAACTTTAATCAAGAAGTTGAAAAGGAAAGAGTGAGAGAAGTCTTAAATAGAGATGAATATCAATCTGTTTTTGGAGAAGCGTCTATTGAAAGTTCTCCCTGCAGTTCATCAATTACTAGCTCCAAGGTTTCTCAGGGGTGTAATGGCAGAAGCTGATCTTGCAGCCAAAAGGGTTCAAGTTAGATCAATGTTGGAGATTGAAGCTCAGCATGCTAAAGTCAGTAAACTTGAATGTGACTGGAAATGTCATGAGTCCCAGATTATGGCAGAAATGAAGCAGAAGGAAGCTGAAGTGCTACAGCAGCTTGATGAAGAGAAGAGCAAGTTAAAGGTAATGCAAACAGACATGGAAGTTAAGATGGCTGCAGCTCGGGTTGATGTTTACAGCAGACTTGAAGATGGTGTTGAAAAGGGAAATCTTGATTTTAAGTCTGAGGTTAAATCAGAGCAAACACTGAAACACCCAAGTCATAAAGCTGCAAAGGTTGCATCAATTCTACCACCTCATGTTTGTGCTGAGATTCCTGCAGTGAACTTGGCTGAAGCCTTAACGAGCTCATTGAGTTTAAGTCGCCTTCCTGTTCCTGAACCTGCTATATTCTCTGGTGACCCTTTGAAATTTGTGGACTTTAAAATATCATTCACAACTTTAATTGATTCAAAATCCATCTCTGCTGGGGAAAAAATGTATCTGAAAAGTTATCTTTCAGGAGAAGCCTGAAAGGCTGTAGAAGGTTTCTTTTACAGAAGCTCTGAGGACGCATATGAAGTGCTTGGTCAGTTTTACAAGATAGGTATGGAAACCCATTTGTCATCCAGAAAGCATTTAGGGATAAACTTATGTCATGGCCAAAGATTGCACCAAACGATCCATTGTCTCTCAGAGATTTTGCTGACTTTTTGAAAGGTTGTGAAGAGGCTATGCCTCAAGTAAAGGGACTGTCCATCTTAAATGACTGTGAAGAAAATCATAAGATGTTGAAGTTACCAGACTGGGTTGTACGTAAATGGAGTAGAGTTGTTGTTGAAGTACTTGATGCATGTGGAGAATATCCATCCTTTGAATGTTTTTCTAGATTTATACAAAAGGAAGCACGTATAGTATAACCCTGTTGCTTCTCCATTTTTGTTAAAGTCTAGAACTTCTTCAAATGACCTTTCCAGGAAAGCAAAGGTTCTTAACACCAGTACGGAGTTTAAGAAACAAGAAAGTGTTCATGGTTTAAAATCTAAACTGCCTTGCTTGGTTTGTGCAGACATGTCACACAGTGTTGCTAAATGTCCTAAATTTGCAGTTAAATCAATGGAAGACAAAAGATCATTTATATATCAGAACCATCTTTGTTTTGGATGCTTAAGGAAAGGTCATTTATTGAAAATTGTAAAACGCGGCATGTTTGTGGGGAGTGTAGACGGCATCATCCTACTTGTTTGCACAAGGAGAGAGTGAGATCTCATGATGTTGCTCAGCAGTGTTCCATAACTCCAGAAGAAACACCTCAGGTTTCTCATAGTGTTTTATCTCATGCACTCATCCGAAACATTTCTGCTACATCAAGTATTGTTCCAGTTTTCCTGTCCTCTGTGAAGGATCCTGGGAAGGAAATACTTGGATATGCACTCCTTGATACTCAGAGTGACTCCTCCTTTGTTTTAGAAGATCTTGTGAGAAACTTGATTGTTGAAACCAAACCAGTGCAGTTAAAACTTAGTACCATGGTTTCTGTTGATACACCATTTCAAGTCAAAATGTGTATGGCTTGCAGGTTCGGAGTTTTTTCTCTGATACTTGTATACAGTTGCGGCAAGCATATACACGTGACTTTATTCCTGTTGATACATCTTGCATACCAAGTAGAAGTACAGCATTACAGTGGCCTCATCTTAAACGTCTAGCTGGCAAAATGCCTGCTTTGCAAAATTGTGAAGTAGGTTTACTTATTGGTTTTGACTGTCCTTCTGCTTTGGCTCCCTTGGAAGTTGTTGTTGGTGGGGAAAATGAACCTTTTGCTCAGAAGACTGCTCTTGGTTGGAGTATTATTGGGGCAATTAATCCACATTTAGATCGGCAAGGAAACCAAAGATATGTACACAGAGTGATGGTGAAAGAAATGCCCACTCCATTAACTTCTGATGTTTTAAGAGCTTTGGAGTTGGATTTTAATGAAAGGGGTTCAGAAGGAAAATGTGTTTCCCAAGATGACATTCGGTTCATACAACTTCTGAGCGAAAACATTATACAAAAAGATGATGGCCATTTGGAGATGCCCCTTCCATTTAAAACATCCTGCCTTCCTATGTTGCCAAACAATAAGACGCTGGCTACCGTTCGTTTACAACATCTGAGGAGAAGGTTAAAGAGAAATGATCAGTTCTACAATCATTATAAAACATTTATGGAGTCTATCATTAACTGTGGAGATGCTGAACTAGTTTCTGAGGAAAATGCCAATGATGGTTGTGTGTGGTACTTGCCTCATCATGGGGTGTATCATTCAAAGAAACCACATAAGTTAAGGGTAGTGTTTGACTGCTCAGCTAAATTTCGTGGCATCTCTTTGAATGATACTTTGTTGACTGGTCCAGATTTGATCAACTCTTTAACTGGAATCCTCCTGCGTTTCAGAAAAGAAGCTGTGGCTATTACTTGTGACATTGAAAGGATGTTCCACCAGTTTTATTGCGTCTAACCATCGCTGTTACCTGAGGTTTTTATGGTGGGAGCAAGGAGATTTGGAAAGTGAGCCTAAAGAATATCAAATGAAGGTCCACCTTTTTGGTGCTCTCCTCTCCAGGCTGTGCTAATTTTGGTCTGAAATATTTGGCACAACTGCAGAGATTAAAGTTTCCATCTGCAGCAGCATTGGAGAATAATTTTTATGTTGATGATGGTCTAATAAGTGTTCCTACAGCTAATGATGCAACCAGATTAATAACTGAGGTGCAGAAACTGCAAGGAAGGTGGTCTGAGACTCCATAAATGTAATTCTAATAGGCCTGAAGTCCTAGACTGTGTGAATCCATCTGAGAGAGCCACAAGTACAGTTTCTGCTGATCTTAAACCTGATTCAAAACTTGCTGAACATATTTAGGTATGCGATGGCATGTTCAAAAGGACTGTTTGGGTTTTCATATTGACCTGAGGGACAAACCTGATACACGACGTGGTTTTGTCAGTAATAGCTTCTATCTATGATCCATTGGGATTTCTTTCCCCACTCATTATGAAGGGAAAATGCATTTTGCAAGATCTGTGCTGCAGAAGTATTGGGTGGGACGACCCTCTGCCTGAAGACTTACTTGTACGGTGGGAGAAGTGGAAGTTTAGCCTTCAGGATGTGAAGAAGTTATTGATATCGAGATGTTATCATCCCGATGGATTTGGAAGGATTGTCAAATCAGAACTGCATCACTTCTCAGATGCTAGCAGCCGAGCATATGGTGCATGTTCCTATCTCAGATTTGAGAATGACAAGGGTGAAATACATTGTGTTTTGATCATGGCTAAAGCTCGAGTCGCTCCTTTGAAAATTACAACCATTCCACGTCTCGAGCTTTCAGCTGCACTGGTTGCTGCAAGGTTGAGTGTTCTGTTAAAATCAGAACTTGACATGAAGATAGACGCTGAGTTTTTCTGGACAGACTCACAAGTAGTGTTATCATATATTAATAATGAAGCACGACGGTTTCAAGTATTTGTGGCAAATCGAGTCCAAATAATCAGAGAAAACACCAATCCGAGTCAATGGAATCATGTCGACACTACTGAAAACCCAGCAGATCATGCTTCGAGAGGGTTAACTGCCTCTGAGATTTTAACAACCAATTGGCTGACAGGTCCTGAATTTTTGTGGGAAAAGGAAATTAACCGGGAGTTAAAATTTTATCCTGATCTTTTAGTGGGTGACCCAGAGGTTAAATCTATTCAAACATTTGTAACAACAGCTAATGACACTCCAGATTTTTTGGAACGTTTCACTAAGTTTTCATCTTGGTCAAAATTGATTAAAGTTGTTGCCAGAATCAAAAGACTTGGATGCCACAACAAATGCTATTCAAACGTGGTGAGTGTTAAAGAACGGGAAGATGCTGTTAAATCAGTGGTGAAACTTGTACAAGAACAGGCTTTTGGCTCCGAGATGAGGTTGTTAAAAGGGGGAGACATCCTTCCCCGTTCTAGCCCTTTGTTCAATTTGAATCCTATTGTAAAAGATGGACTGCTGCGAGTTGGTGGACGATTAAAACATTCACCTCTTAGTGAAGATTTTAGATATCCACTGATTTTGCCAAAACACAGCCATGTTACTCATTATTTTGTCTTACTGTCACAATCAAGTAAGTCATCAAGGCAGAGGTCAAACTCAAATGCAGGTCCGGCTTAATGGGTTTTGGATTATTGGCTGCAGCAGGTTGGTGGCTCAGATGATTCATAAATGTGTGCAGTGCAGGAAGATCAGACGTCCAGTGGAAGAACAACTTATGGCTGAGCTTCCAAAAGAACGCTTGGAAGCATCTGCACCATTTACCTATTGTGGAATGGACTGTTTTGGTCCTTTTATTGTTAAAAGAAATCGTAAGGAATACAAAAGGTATGGGTTGTTGTTCACCTGCCTTTATTCAAGAGCTGTTCACATTGAAATGTTGGAGGATTTGTCCACAGATTCTTTTATTAATGGCCTGCGCTGTTTCATTAGTTTGAGAGGAGCCGTTCGCCAGATATATTGTGATCAAGGAAGAAATTTTGTAGGAGCCCAAAATGATTTAAACAATGTGGTCCTAAACATTTGGAGTCTTTCCTGGCAGAAAATCAATGTGAGTTCATTTTTAATGCACCATCAGCAAGTCATGCTGGTGGTGTTTGGGAGCGTCAGATACGAACCATTCAAAATGTATTAGCTTTTACTCTATCACAAAACTTGGGAAAACTTGATGATGCTTCATTAAGAACTTTCTTTTATGAAGCCATGGCCATAATTAATAGTCTCCTTTAACACTGAAGGGAATGAATGACCCTGGTTCTCTTGAACCTTTAACTCCTAACCATCTGCTTCAGATGAAGTCTGAATCTGCCTTGCCTCCTGTAGGAAAATTTGTGAGGGAGGATATCTATTCCTCAAAACGTTGGCGCCGTGTGCAGTTTCTGGTTGAGCAGTTTGGAGTCGGTGGAAGAGAGAATACCTCCAGAATATTTCCATTAGACAAAAATGGCATGTAGTTCGGCGCAATTTAAAAATAAATGATATTGTAATAGTAAAAGAGGATTTTCTCCCAAGAAATAGGTGGCAGTTGGGTCGTGTTGTTGAAACAATTGTTGATAGCGATGGCTTGGTTCGAAAAGTAAAATTGAGGACAGGAGAACAAAGATCAGGTAGGGATATTATTTCTAAGAGTTCAGTAATAGACTGGTGCAAAAATTGGTGTTATTAGAAAATGATTTGTAAACTTAATGTACACAGACGAGCATGTTTTTAAACAATCTGCATGATTTTTTAAAAAAAAACCTTTTAAATAATGCATAATTTTAGTAATGGTTCATGCATTATTGGTGGGAGTGTAACGGATTGTAAAATGAAATGTCTAAATTATTTGTAGTTTATTTAAATTAAACAATTTAAATGAATTTCTAATTTAAGACTGTTGCAGATTGTTTATGTATGTTTGTCTGTTTTGGTTTGCATTGTTGGTGATTTATTTGGTTTAATGGTATTTTGTAATGTTTTGGGATTTTTTTTTGTTTAATACGTACCTCACGGGCTGCCGTAGAGAAAGAGGGCAGGGCCTATAAAACTGGGGAATTGCAGTGAACCAAATGAACTGTCAAACGTTGGACTAAGAAATGGCGTTCCCCAGTAAAGGCAGCGAGGTACGTTTTTGTTTGTTGTTGTATTGTTGATTTGTGTTGTATTTTAATATTTGTATTTGTTTAGTTTTCACGGTGATGGTGATGATGATGGTGATGATGATGGAGGTTTTGAAGTCAAGTGACCTGACGATGATCCAGCAAAATCATCAAAGGAGAAATAAAGCCAATATCACCTGTCGAGACCGGCTGTTTTTTTAATTCAAGTACTGGGGATCAGCTATAGTTTGTATGTATCTATATCTCTATATATGTTCTACCAGGAAAGAAAAATAACATCACATGCCCTGTTGTTTCACAGTAATCACATTTGCTAGGATTATGTTTTTGAATTTTAAAAGGTGTATAATTAAGTCTTTTTTAAAACCTAAACTGGATTTTTAAAGCGTTTTTCTTTGGACTTTTAAACTGTCGAAGAACAACTGAGAACCCAGTCATTAAGAATATAAAACAAAAATCTAAAGTTAAAGTTGTCTTGGAAAAAAGGGCTAGAGCTCTCATTTATTTCAATTTTTGAAGGCTGTTCCAAAATCCAGACAAATCCAGATTTGTCTCTTGTTATATGAACATCTGAGTTAGGAACTCATGCAAGAAAGACTCGTCATCAAAGGTTCAGATCCTGCACTCCTATTCAAGCCACTTGGAAACAAAATTTTTTCCTAATACACTTTAAATCCAACCCCACCAGAGCATCTTCTTCCCTTCATATTTACTGTGTCCTTTTTATGACCAGCTGTAATCTGCACAATGCTGTTTACAGGGCTTGAAATCTGAAAAAGTTCAAATGATATTCAAATATTTGCAAGGTACTATCCATTTAATCCCATTAAATGATTTCAATATTATCAAGAAAACAAACAGTATTAAAACCAGGACTATGTTAATAAGAATTAATGATAAACAGAACTTTTGTTCTCAGAAAATTGCTTGACATTATTTAGAACTAAACCAAAAATATGGAGACTTCAAAAGTGCAACGTCTTTCAATATTAAGTGGCTACAAACAATATCAGCAAAGATTAAAGGAAAAAAAAAAGTTTGATTTTAATACTTAGACAAATAGTTGTACTTTGAAATCACAACTACAACACAAAAGCATTTCTTTCCAAGTCATTTATTTTTTCTTTATGGGTAAGTACAGTGTATCGCAGAGTTCAAAAGCACAGTGGTTTTATGGGCTTCAAACTGACATTTTATGGGAGAAAAAAAATTCCACTTATGTGAGGGTTTAAGTAAAGGTCTTGTGAATTACCTTTGTTTTAAACACCAACATTCTCTACAACTACATGGAAATACGCTCTCTACATGAACATAAACAACAAATAGATCTAACAGGGGATTGATGTTACATCTTATTTCCTTCTGTCTTGCATTGAAATGTTTTTTCTCTTCACTTCCTGACACCAGCCACAATCTTCCTCTTCTTTGTATCATGTTACTTGCTTTGGTTGTCTTGTTGTCTTTCTGTGGGTGTCTTCTCAATCTGCAGTGTAACATCTTCTCTGTTTGGGATCAAGCACAAAATTTAGACTGAATACTTTTTAGTGAAGTATTAGCGATTGAGTTACCCAATAGGGCCTTTTAGAAATGTTTATACAATATTGAAATATTCATTTAGGGTTAATTTAAGGTTGATTCAAGTGGACAGAAATATGTATTTGTATTCCGCCCCAACAGGTAACAATTTGTAGAAGAAACTTTCAATTAAAACTGCATGTCTTTTGAAATGTATTTTTACAGTTTTGCTCATCTGGAGTTTTGTAAAACGTTCTAAAACATCTCAGACTAGATGAAGTATGTCTATGGACATCATTTGTTTTTTTTTTTTTAAAGTTGCAACAAATTCTTAAACTCTTAACTTTGACTGGGCCATTCTAACACATGAGGATGTTTTGATTTTAACCACTCCATAGTATCATCAGTTGGAGTTTCAACAAGGTTAACCTCCACTGGGGTCTCAAGTATATCACAACCTTCAACAGCTTTTCATCCAGGATTACACTGTTTTCTCCTTGAACTCCAGATTTGTTACATTGTCATCATCATTCTTTCGCCTGAACTCTGGATCTCTGCAGCTCCTCCAGAGTTCCCATGGGCTTCTTTGCTGTTCTGGTTGATGTTTTCTCTGTATGGCCTGCCAAGCCTTGGTCATGGCAATGGGGCCACAAGTTGCTCTTTTGACCCTCCAAAGAGGCTCCTACTAAGCTTGACTAGCATTGATACAGAACTGATCAGTGTTTTGAAATTTGACAGAAGTAAAAACAGAAATGTTTGCATTTTTCTGTTAATTTACTGCAATAGATGCATACTGATTCAACATCAAAATGAAACAGAAATATGTTTTTGTCATTTTGCCACTTTGTAACAAAACAAAGTTTTTTCCATGTATGGAATATTGCATGTAAGAAAATACTTGCTTTATTTGTAGAAGTTTTACATTTCTGTTTTGAAACCTGTACACATAAACACACATATTACTGTTTAACCATAAACCTTTTTTTGTTGTTGCAGATAAACTTTATTCGGATCGCTTGTTCAATTTACAAGTCAGGCAAGTTGTAAATGAAATTTCTTGCACTGGATTTTATTTTGGTTATCAGAGTAACAGGGGCAGAGTACACATACATATATTCAATGAGACACTACATTGATCTAACAATGCACTAAAACAAATTGACGTTTTGCTTCCACAAAAATTTCAGATCCTAAACTCCATAATTTCTGACGCTGAAATCTAAAAACAGTGACTTACAGTGATGCGGATCCTTTACTCTGCCCGGATTGGAGGAATTAAAAAATAAACAACAACAATTCATTAATATTAACAAGACATCCTGAAATGTGTGTTAATAATGAAAAAAATACCTTCAGGTTTGGGGTGCATGAGGTTCAGTGGCAGCTCCACTGTGACGTCACTGTGCAAGAAAAACCCCAAACAATTAGCAAGAGCTGCTTGGTAATCAGCTGTGATATAACTGCTGTGATGGATGTTGCTTACCTGGCAGTAAGGCCACCCAGCAGGCTTAGGGGCAAGGACAACATTATAAGATTTTTTTCTCGTCATTTAATCCTCTTTAATCTTTAGATTTCTTTGAGACAAAAAAGGTGTGACACAGACTCACCCCCCTCCAGCCACCATGAGGTTAATTTTAATCTTGTAGGAAACCAGGATACCCAACACCTCTTTTTCCACACCCTGCCGCAGCCTGTGTGAAAGAGGGATTTACAGGATTTCAGGGATTAACAGGTTTATTTTAGTTAAGAGTACAACCATACATCATGGATGAAGCAACAGCAAAACTATAAAGTCTAAAAAGAGCGTACATCCAAAGGTGTAAACAGTTAAAACACAACTTAATCCTGCATTTAAAATTTTTTTTTTAGCTTTGTCTGATGTGTTGTTTTTGCACTGACATAGTGGTGGAGGCCAGGTTTGTATCCTCATCCTTCAGCCGTCCGTCCAACGCCAGACCTCTTTTCTCCTTGTTGTCAGCCAGAAGTGGTGTGATGGACAGAGTTTTATCCAAGGTGCCGTTGGCTTCCACCGTCTCTCTGAACAAACAAACAAAAACAAATATCAGAAAATGTATCTATTTATATTTATATTAATTTATCAGTTTTATGTGGCCTTTCCTAACAGTTCAGGCAAACAGTTTGGTGGATCTGGCTTGCCTTATGCTTTGGGGGTAAATTTGCTTATTTGCACGAAAGTTCCCTGATCTGTAAAGTTGACTTGCCATTAATTTGTCTGAATTTTATTTTCTGATAGGCTCTGAGACGTACCCAAACTCTTGGCAAAGAACAGGCTTGGTGTATTTGTCAGCTGAGTAGAGAACAATGTCGGTGGTTTGGTCCACTGTGAAAAGAGAGTGAAACAGATGCAGTTTCAGGACGGGCCTAGATGTTAATCACCTGATCAATAAATCAATAACACAGGAACCCACCACTGATTTTGATTTTCTTCACTGTTTTGTTGCTCTCGTTGTTGATTTTGACTTTGATTGGAATAGTTTCTCCGTGAAAGTAGAGCTGCAAAAACACAAAAATAAGTTGGAGGTGTTTGTTTGGTTTCCGTCTCTTTGTTTTATAAATACAGTATCTCAAGGTTGCAAATGAAAGGTTAAATGTTAGATCAGTAAAATAAATTTCCCCCCCTACATCTTTTTCCATTGATGCTTCTAAGTGAACGGGTTTGTCAGACATCATGAAGCTCTTGCAGATTTCAGCCTTGGGACCGGCTCCCACTTGAGACGGCGCATACTGGATTTTACGGATGACAAGGCGAGCGGTGTCCCTGTTCGGAGCACACAGGGAGAGATAAACATTAGATATAAACACTAAAAACATGACTCGGACCGAAAACCAAAGCAGGACTGATAACAAAAGTGCACTCACTTCTTTTCGATCTTTTCATCTGGGTTGTTCTTCTCCATGGCGATGTAGGTTTTCACCTCGAAGTCAACACCACAAGCCTGCAAGGAGACACAAAATAATGAAGGTCTTTCATATTTCATGATGTGTGGACTTGAAAAAGAAGCGCACCTTTCCCTTGTCATCAGGTCCAGGCTGCAGGGAGACTGAGCATGGCAGGTTGTTGGGAATCTGGAAAAAACAAAATGAAGCAGCTTCAAATCAAACAAGTCATTTTTTTATTACATTGTTTACAAAAATTTGTTTTCAAAATGTCTGAATAGAAATTGTGCATCAGTATGGTTGGTATCATCAGTACGGTTTCATTGCATATCCATGTTTTTCAAATCAATTAAATACAATTTGGAGATATAGAGTAGGAAAATAAAAGTAATAGACTTTTCCCAACAGATCCAGCAGAGTGATTCAGCACCATGGACAGAGGCATAAAACGCCGATCCAGCTGAGGTCTTAAAATCCTCTCATACCTCAAAGGAGAAGGCGTAGGCGTTGTCCCCCGCCTTCTTCAGCAGGGTTTCATGCATGGCGCTCAGCTGTGGTTTGTTGACCTCAGGATAGATCTGCATTTGCTCAAACCAGATGTCCTTCCTGAAGCACAGGCCCATCACGTCCAAGTCTTCACTACCATATCGGAAGGCACAGGACAGTTGCACGAAAGCTGCAAACATGACGACATGTGAACATTTATCGCTGAGTTACTTTTCTCCCTAAGGAGATGAGTCCAGAAGGAATCTCTTTTTATGTTACCTT